AAGATGCATCCCATTCTTTCCGTTTGTTGTGGCGTTTCGATCTTGCCCTGCTACTAATCAATTTGGTTACAAGGAACCTCGTGATACCATACTCTCCCACCGAGCTTTTGACAAGGTGTTTGTCATGAAGGCGACTTTGACGCAGAGGGAAAAGAAAAAAACTTTGACAACTTATGAATAACATCATATTTAGAAGTAACGACTACCTATCTCACAAAATTTATAACTCTACATGGACCAATCACATAGTAAAGTATAGTAATGTAAGTATTAATTAATACTTACATTACATTTTACTTACATTACATCAAAAAATGAGTTATAACTAGCCAATCACTTTAATATTAATGCATAACAAATTTTTTTTAATGCTTCATTAACATTCAAATGCTATATGAAATTTTTGCTAATTGTTAATATTTTTTTGATATATATAAATTATAAAAAAAATCAAATTATTTGGAAATTAAAGATTTGTGAACATAAAAGATTTTGCAAAAAATATTAATTCTAATTTGATGACATGATGATGATCATTATTTGATGTTGATATTCATAGATTGATTTGATGTCTAGAGTAATATCCATCTAAATTTTTTTAGGATTACTTACTTTTGAAAGATATATATTGAATGTGCTGCTAAATGTTCATTATGTTGCATCATTGAATCATCAGTATTTCATTCATTTATGTGATTGAATGATTAGTTATTTATAAATCTTAATCGTAAAATTATGTAAATTCTATTTTTACATTTCAATAAATTAAGATTATGGAAATTTTTTTTCTCACATATTGCATTGATGTAATGAATTATACAATTTAGTATTTTTTTTCACATCATTATCACATGTAAAAAAACATCATTTTTTGGTTGTAAATATCAATGATGATTAGAAGTGAAAATATTAATTGCACAATAAAATATTTTGAACTATAAAAATACACAATTTAGTATTGTGTATTTTTATTTCAATCAAATAAATGAAAAATTTTGATGGATTAAAAAATGAAAAAATTATTGAGTACCTCCTGAGATGAATAGTTTTAGTCAAAATTTGTGTTGTGTATTAACATATATGTGACGATTTGAAGATAATCTATGGTAAGTTTTCTTTTGAAAAAATGTATGAAGATAAAAAGGAAAACTTGTTTTGAAATTACAAATGATTACATTTAATTTGTAAAAATTTTACAGGTTCTCAAACACACAATATCTACCGTTATGATACAAAAATATTGATTAAATTTCTTTTGATAATTATATATTTGATACATGATTATGTTTCAGAATGAACACATTTGTCCAATTGCTTTTCACAAGAAAATTTTTCTATTTTAAACTTTGAGTTTGTCATTAAAATTTTTATTATTAATATCAAGACTATCTTGATATTAAGTCAGTTTCATATACAAGGTTCTGTCACAAAATATATGTATGAAAATAATCAATGTTTTAAAATTATCTCGTACAAAATCTGATAAGAACAAAGATCATAAAAAATCTATGCATTATCAACTTTCTTTGATATATTGCATATGACATATGATTGATTTAAGATCTAGATAGTTACTCTATTGCAACCAAATTTGACAAAAAAGTATTAAAAGCTTTGAACTTTGCATATTTTTTAGTCTGAAAATCATATTTATCAAATTTAGACAAAGAAACAATCTTTTTGTGTTGACATTTTTTCTTAAATTTGGATAGATATCTAAATATTACTATCATTGTTAGCTTATTTATATAATCATTCATTACTCGCACTTGTTGAAGTAATGATTGAATAAGATAGAAACAAAAACTACATCATCATTTGATTTGAATTTTAAATATAATTTCAATTTTTATTTGAAAAGATGAAAATTGTAAAACTCAACATTTTGTTAAAATTGTGAACCTCGACATTGTTTTGATTTTAATCTTACAGTCTGAATTGTCATCGCTTCCCCTATTTTTTGACTTGTAGAATTGAGCTTTCAAAATTTATTTTGTTTAACACATATTAAAGATTTTTTCCTTGTGTTCTATGTTTGAAAAAGTTCATTTACATTCATGTACAATTAGATCACAAATCTTGTGAGATGATGGAGATGGTATTCATTGGCATCAAAATGAATGAAACTGCATTACATAAATTATATCATTGTAAAGTTAAAACTTTCATGTTAAATATTTGGTCTTAACTTTTTCTGGGAAAATGCTAATTGACGTGGTAGGCTTAAGATGTTAAGATATACTTTACAACATGAGTTTACTTTTGTAAAAGTTATAACTTTAGAATTTAGATTAAAATCGTAGGAATTGAGGTTTAAGTTAACTGTAGATTTTAGATTCAAGGTTTATGATTAAATTTGAAAATACAATAATTGATGTGAACAATTAACTTTGTTGATTGTTCTCATGTCGTTAACGATAAGAATGAAGAAATTATATTTTTTCACAAGATTTTATGTGATTGTAAAATTCATAATTGATTTTGTTGTGAAAATAAGTTTCTTGTTTTTTGTTTCTTCTTCCTATGAACTATATAAACATAATCAAAATTCTTTAACTTATCGTTCAAACATTGCTACAAGAAATAAATTTCTTTCACGTTTGGACATTTTGTTCAAACTATATAATCTAAAAGTCTTTGGACATTGAATTTATTTTTGTATAATCATGCAATTTTTTCAGGATGCATAATCAACATGGCCGATTGTTTGAAAAGCAGAGATGAAGATGGTAAAAGAGTAGAAGTGTAGCAGATTCTTTGCGGACAATCAAATACGTGACGTATTCCCCGTTTTTTACTAGCATCATGGTTGTATTCTTAAGTATGACACTTGATGGATAAAATTGAGTTAGGCAATGAACCAATCAATATTTCTTTACAAAATATAAATTGCGGATCCAAAGATTAACGGATGAGATTGCGTTGCCATACAAGTAAATGAAACAACGCTGCAAACTTTGTAGTGTGTCATCTATCATCCGCAATGTTTATCTGGTTTCTTGCTAGACCGGGATCGATGTTCCTTGCTTCTTCGTTTACTCGAAGCGTTCTTTCCTTGTTCATCACTCCACCAAGTTTTTTGACTAAGTCAAAGCGTCTAGCACTATTATTTTTTTGCATCCTCGTGCTGGACAAGAAGTCCAAAAAAATTATGTGCAAACTAGTATTGAAACCAAACCAGATGATAAGACTAGCTCCCTATATTCTTTAAAAGAAATTTTAAACACACTCCACACAATCATTAGACTAAAACATAGCTAACTATACATTACACGGAACTATTGACCAAACCATAATAAATTGGAGGTCAATCAATTGCGCAGTCAGTGAAGCTGAGGTTTTTAAAACAAAGAAATATCCGCCAGTCAGTGGGATATTGCTCCTTTAGTCATTGAAAACGTTTCTTGGCTTCATGGCTGCCACATGATGACTTTGCTTGTTGCTACCGCCTTCATCATGTTTTGGTCAAACGTTTTTTTATCCAACTGTTGTATCACACGTCTGATTGTGCTGCTCTGGACTATGTCAATATTTGTCGCATGTTACTGATTGCTGTGAACCTGACTGCGTATGCTGTTTGAAACTCTGCGTTTGAGACTTTTGAGGAAATATTTTTATTTTGCTTTGATATCAATCTTCGACAATTGACACAGAGAGTAGCCAACACATCAATAGTTGACACAGCATATATGACGAAAATAGAGAAAAGCTTCACTGACAAATCCTAAGTCTGTGTCATGTATAGCTACATCTAACTTTCTTAAAGAGCAATAGGCTTATCATAATTAAACTGAGTAACACTATCATTAAATCATATTTTTTTATTTTCTAAATAAATGTAACAATTTTCACTTGCGATATCAAGAGATAAGTACTAAGTATTCTATTTGTCTATTTCTTGAGAAATATTAAATTCAAGGGTCTAGTTGTTCTAATATTTTTGAAAAATCTCAAGGATTATTTTTATATTAGATTAATTATTATTTCATATATGACATCAAATTACTTCATTTATTATTGATTGCTCAATTAAAAATATTTTTCAAATTATTTTTTGAAATTTTTTTACACTGTTTAAAATGAAATGACGATTTTCCAATATATTTTTCTAGAAAAAAATACAGAATTGTTATTTTTTTGATTGAATCTTAATGTACACTAGATTTATTGATATTTTCTTGTCTTTTCTATACTTGAAAGATTTTAAATCTACATCTAAGAATCATGTCATAAATATATCTTACATATCTCTTCACTAAAAAATGTATAAAAAATCGTTTTATTTTAAAGTATTTATTCAAGAGTGAGATGGATAACTTGGCATTTATATATGGTTCGAATCTGAAAATATATCCAAATGAATAGCTAAAAAAATAAATATTGTCACATTTCTGGTTTTTCTTTATAAAAAATTAAAAACCAATAAATGAAAGTGATTCGATCAAATATTCTTTAAAGTAAATTTCTTTACATACACAATATGATATCTTTTTCATATACATCCAATACTTTTTTAATATATTCCTTGTTCAAAGGTTTTGTTAGATATAATTTTGAAAATAATATAAACACATCTGTTCACAAAATATAAACTTTAAGATATTACATAGATATGCCATAAAATACGTTATCTAGAAACAAAAGATATTAGAGTTACAATAGATGCATGAGTATAAATTAATACTTCTTGATATTCCAAACAGTGGAACAACGTTTTGGCCGATGTGTAGATTTACTGGAGGCTAGTTCTACTCCACGTTATCATCCTCGTGATAAAATTCCATACAAGCTTAAAGACATCGGTTGCTCGTGACTAATTTATGAATATCCACGTAATGTGGTCAAGAAAAAACTTGGTATTGCCAAGCTAGTACATAAAATGTGCATAATATATTGATTGGATCACACAAAAAATTTGGTATAAATTCAAATTGTCATGATACATGCAAAGATGATATCTTTGCTTCATGCTAATGTACAAGCCCATATTTAGTAGGTTATCAATACAAAGGCTTTACCGATTGAGAGCAACATCCACAAAAACATGAGGAATCGAATTATTTATAACCCAATTTTGGTACAATGCAATGTAATATATCTTCCAGAAGTTTCAACATCTCGAATAAGTTTCTGCGTATATGTGCACATGCGGAACGTATCATTCCAGTTTTAAAATGCAAATACCATAAACTTGAGTCGTTAATGCATGTGAGCTACGACGTCGCACCTGTTACAAACAGCACCTATCAGTGTTAGCTAAAGACTCACCGTGACAATCAAATTTTAACGGCCCTTAAATTGCGTGGCAGGACCTGATGCCTTAATTTCTTAGGAAAGTTTTAGTGGTACAACTATTTAACAAAGTACGAAGTCATCGGAGCAAAAAAAAAATCGCTTTCAATGAGTTTTCAGAAGATGTTACCTGCATTGACAAACACCTTGAAACGCTTTCGATATTACTGATACGGCAGCACTCTTAATTTCACACCATGCTCCATCAGGGGTCAAATCACCCCCAAATGTTAACTGCAACCAATGACCTGTATAAATCCATCCAAGTGTGCACAACATCAATTAGTCTCCTGCTTATGACGCAGTTTAAATACTATGATCACATAGAACCCAAAAGTGGAAAAACAGAACTGTTGTTAGTATCTTCTAATCCCTTCGCTTCGTATATGCATCTGAAAAGACTAGTCAATCTCACCTGACTTTGGCGAGCTGCCTGCAGTAAGAAACACGATACCTCTGGCATTTACAGCCTGCATGAGAGCTGCATTGAGATCTCCCTATTCAAAGCCGAGATCAAACACTTTAGAGTGAAATGGGTTGAGGTCAAACACAGGAGGTTGAAGCCGCTATCTATCGATCTTTAACGGTTATTGCAGTTTATCTCTTAGTACAAGGGATCAGAATTCGGCTAAACTTCTCAAACAATCCATTCAAGTACTGTCGGATAATTCGTGGTTCCGAGATCTGTGGTTACTTCCAGGCGGCACATCCTAATTGTGACGCAATTGATGGAAAATTCAACTCTGACCACAAGAAGCGTACTGGAAACTCTGGATAACATATTTTATACTTCAGAATCCATAAGATGCTAATGTTTAAGGAAAATACTTCAACTTATCCATACCTCGTGAACACCTTTCAAAGCAGATCCCACGAGACCAAACTTTACCACCGAATGGAACTCTACCTCCGGATTATTGTTCCTTACACTAGATATCTCATGCACCTGCAAGAATTTGAAAATGAAATAGTCAAAAGTCAAAATTCAGTTGTAAATCAGGTTGCCCAAGCGTGCACACGATCTCCTGCAGCTTGTGTATGACGTACAAGGGTTTCGACATATATCGGCAATTACTTCATGAGACGCAAAGGGCTAAGCAAGCACCACACCGCATTGCACAAATCCGTGAAGTAAAATGGCAAGTGCTCTACCAGATTCATGGAAAAAGATGCAAGGTATGCCTGGCATGGCAGAACGTATACGATGCAAAACAGAGCAATGGATAGATAATTGAGGTATATCATTGCTCTCAATATACTGCAAACATCACATAGTGTACAAAGCACAGGCTGTATGCAAGGAAATGAAGCAGGAAACAAGCAGGCATAACCATGAAAACACCAATACGTATCATATATACAAACGACAAGATTGAAATGACAAAGTGCCAGAGACAGCATGAAAACATATGTGCAGCACAGTTCCTCGTTTCCGATGTGAGACGAAGAACCAGGGACAGTAAACAAGATCTAACGGACAAGCACCAGACCATCTTTACATAATCCCAGTTGCTTCACCAGTGGGTGCCGGGGTCAATAGGTTGAAATGAACTCGAAACCCAAAAGACCGAAGTCTGTTGCCCAGATACGTTATAGAACAAGGCTACCACAGGGATGACAGCTACAGACTTTTGAGTCTGTGAAGAAAGAAACTAAGTAATAGACAAAAATGAACTGCCTAAGCACTATGCAGCGGGCTTATGACAGCTCTCCACTTGTAACCTGTAATCTGCCGAACAGAGAAGATTCTCATGGCTGGGAATCTGAGCAGGAACATCGTCCTTCGTAGGTAACAGTTAAGAACATGAAGAACTATCTGCATATTGTGATCATGCTCTTTGGATCTACTAATCAACGTTTGGCGACGATGGCCTGACAAAAGGCAAGCTCGAGTGTTGCAGATGAGAGAGAAACGTTCCACCAAAGAGTGGATGATAACGAGCTTTCACTTCAAACAGATCCTAGATAGGACATGAGGTAGGGTGATAAGGTTGTGTTTCCGGAAGTGTGGTTCTCGGCGTTTATTGCAGACTTCAAGAGCTTGGTCCTGTCTTGAGAAGCGCCCAACTCCATGAAGTTACAGTGCTCACAGTAATAACTAGGTTATATGACGCCTCCGACGGCCTCTAGCTAAATGTACAGGAATTCCTGAAAGTCAAGGGTATTTAGAACAAAAAAGTCATCGACAGTCTAAAGCGTACAATCGTTCAACTCAAGGGCAGAGGTGCAGGGTATGGTATTCGCTCGATGAAAGCCAATTCTTATGTTAAAATGTTAAAAGAAATAACTGGGAAGACTGCACACTTTGTCCCCAAGGATTTCGTAATACTTTGGCCAAGCTCTTGTCCTAAAAGCGGAGCTACAGGTTGTCTTGCAGAAAATCCAACCAAGCAGGAAGCAGCTCCAAAGTGAGACGAAATCATAACATGAGAGGGGCGATTGGTGTGTTCCAAGCTACTAATAGTCATTGACAGGCCCACTCACGCTTGGGGAAATGTTCATATTTCAAGTTTTAGTTGATATTAACGGGAATAATATACCAAAGCTTTGTCTACAAAGAGAAAAGAGAAAAAGTGATGGTTATCAATACTTGTTGAATAGTTTCTGAAAAGGATGATTGCTTATATTCTGGATGTGCTACGAGTGTGGTGAAAGCACTCAAGGTCTCCAATAAGGGTGTGCAAAGAGTTGTCCCCTTAGCATTTGAAAATTATGGATGAGGATTTCAACATGCTAGAGAGGTTCTGCGAGAGCACCTATAGGTTTATACAACAGACGTATCGATTTCTTTAGTGCTGGGATATGCTCTACAGATAGATTCCCAGCACTATATCCAAGAGAGAGACCACATTAGCTAATGCTGTATCACATGTTCATGTTTTATCTAAATAGTACCAATATTTTAGGTGGTGTAAGGAATATTTCTCATCATGATACTGTCAGGTCTACTCAGTGGTCTACTCCCTATCCTTTTCTTTCTTGCATCGTTTTTCTATGTACTCATTTCTTAAAAAGCAAAAGTGCCTTGCAACGCATGCCCAGCGAAATAGAGAGTTCAATGAGCGAAGTGAAATGAGCAGAAACTATAAACCAGGCTTAGGAGGTTAGAAACATGTAGTTGAGAATGGAGAAAGGTCTAAATGACATCAGTGGTCTTAAGCACAGGAACGAACCCTCAGATAGGAAAAGACTACGGGTAGGTTGAATGAGGACAAAGCTTTTGTATTTTTTAGTACATGTAACAATGAGTGGACATCCTAAACACTGAAAATGCTGTATCCCAGGAACGTTGTAAATGGTTGTCATGAAAATGCTGCCGGATGCCTTTCTTAATACCAAAGTGGGTCTTGGTCCTAGTAATCAGGATGTAAAAATGAACAAATCAGTAAGATTACGTCAAGATCAAAAGGCGAACTGTAGTTGTTAGCGAGTGACAGGTTGTGTAAAACTTAACCTTGAATCTGACGTCTGAAGAGGCGAGAGCTGCAAACTCATCAATAGCAGATGCTCTGTCTTCTAGAAATTCGATGCTCGTTTGCATTCTACTTGCCAGTAAGTTCAGAAGTTCTCTCTTCAACTCCTCAAGCTCTCTTCTGTCTCGGCCGATGAATACAAGCTCGATATTTGGTTGGCTTTCCCACGAACCACCGTAAATGGCTTCTGATCTTTTCTTACCACTATAGTGAAAGATGTGTCGTGTGGATCTGAACCAAAACAATTCGAAGGGGAACAAGTTAAGGACCTATCGGCCTTCACGAATTACACTCCCAGTATAGCATTTGATGTGCTCCATTATCCAACATCAGAAACACAAATCATCGTGTTACAAATATAGAAACCAACGCAAGAGGAATCAATTAGGTAAGCGAATATTTGGTACTTATAATAAGGTTTCTCCTTCTACAGCCGAAAGAATTCATGAGCAGAATCATTCACCTGCTTTCCTGAAACCAAACTACACCTTTAGCTCTTAGAACACCACTGCATGAGCGCAGCCGAGAGGCTACGAAGTCTTGAAATGCTGCCAATGAAAATGGTTCGTCCCTGGAGAAGCTAACAGAAGAAATTCGCGCATCATGTTCATGATGTGCTGCACCCAACAACACAAACTCCTTATGACATGGAAGTGATTTGCTCGGTCAATTCTATTCAGATTATTTAGGCTAGATGTAGAAAGCAATCCTCTTCATATCGTCTGCAGCTCTTACATGAGATTGGAGATGACAAGACCTTCGGTAATTGTCTTGATACGGAGGCATTCTTGAGCAAAGGGCGTGAGGTTGGTGTCATGGCCTCATGAGAAACAAAGCCAACTGCAGAGTTTGCAAAGCTGCTTGCCAGGGTTGGAGTTGGCTTTGATACTGTAACATTCAAAATCAGGTCAAGAGGAACGTTTGAAAATCGGCAGCGCACTGCCTTAGTTCCCCCAGTGGCCTCTTCTACACGATCTTCAGCATCTGAAATTATTCGCAATGAAACCAGGTCACATCTGCGGGTACAAGTCGTTCAGATACCTAGTTATGTCTACAACAGTGACGGATGATTGGATAATGTACTGGATCTGATGTCCAGAATTCACTTAGAAAAGAGTTCGGAAAATATAAGCATAAGACCAGATTTTTGGAAGACAGCTAGGTCCATTTTAACCAGCATTTACAAGTACATGCTCAAAGCTAACAACTGCCTCTACAAATTGTACTTCAGAGGCACCTACTTGTTGAGAAGAACAATATCTGCTATTTCAAGTTGCTGCCTTGCCACAGGTGTTTGTAAAATGATGTCGAGATTCTCGACATCAACAACTGCGACGACCATATCCAGACGAACACCTGTTTCCTCCAACTCCTTGGCCATTGCAGTTGGATTCGCCAAACCAGATGTCTGATATTGACAATATCAACAAAGTAGACTCTGATCAACTGAAGGCCTAAAAAAAATGTCTTTCTAATAACACCTACTGCTTAGATGAAATGGCATGACTGAACACGCTAGGCTGCAGCTCTAATTACCTCGATGACGACATAGTCAAAGTTGTGCTGGCCATTGACTGTCCTGCGCACAGCTTCCTTCAAACTTCCGCTAGATCGACAGCATGCACATCCTAGAAGAACAGAACAAGCAAGAAGCTGAGTTTGGCAAGCAGAATCTGAAATTCTTTCAATTTTGTTCGTAATGAAATCGTGAAAGAATTGGAGGTACTTCCACAATTGAAAATATCCCAAGGCTTCTTTGAAACAGGCTGAAAATCCGGACCAGAGGAGAAATAAAGTGGAGTTATGCTAAATTTTTTTCAAGACCGACTGCTGATGCCCTTGCAGCATCAAGGATCAAATAGAGACAATATGGTGAGAGACAGATGAAGCTTTCATGCTAGAACATGAGGACGACAGAGGAAATGAGTTCATCATGATTGTGTTATCCGATTATAGAGGTCCACTCCACAACGCTAAACTGCACAATTTCCCCTCTCGACTCCAACCATGAGCTGCCGACTTAAAGCATTGAACTTATATCTTACAGTCTTACCATCAGCCAGAGAGACATAAGACAAGCCGTGACTGGAATTAATCCGGGATGAATCCAGCAGAGCAGAATCGACATCTATGTCGGCAAATTCGTTCACCAACACGGCAATTTGCAAACTTTCGCGATTTTTCAGGATATGCTGAACTAGAGTAGTCTTCCCGCATCCCAAAAACCCCGTCACAATGGTGCAACCGATGCGTCCACCTTCCCCCACTTTCTTATCATATGCTTGTTTCTCGAACGCTAATGACATTTGGTTGCTCTCCTTCAGAGACCCCTTAACAGCCATCTTGGATTCCGGTCCACTCAAAATTCGATTCAGACAGAGCTTCCTGTCTTCAGCCTGCCATGAAGCGCGTCTCTCACTTGTTGAAGGAATTAGTTGATGACACGCAGTTCATCTTTTCAGTAAGAGAGTTGGCTAAAATCGATCTTGTCCACGGCTAGACGAAATAATCTAGAGCCTCATTCATATGATTCAAGCGTATGCTCGGGTAAGGAGCACGAGGTGTGCAATTGCGATTGCCGTCATGATCTGTGAGTGTACTTGCCTTTTAATGCAAAAGATGTTCATCAATGCGGGGGCCAATTAAATTCAAAGAAGATGACGAAGATTTGAGGAAAGAGAGTCAGTGCTCGTATGGACTTGTGATCAAACAGCTGGGCAAATCGTGGAAGAAATCTCCGCGCTAATGGATCGAGTGGCAAGAAGAATGAAGAAGCGATGGTCAACTTGATGTGGAGGTCAAGAAGCTATTCGGCCACTTTCAGCTGATAAATTGCTGATATTGATGTATAGGGTCCTGGTGGCGAATCGAGATTGGAATGCGTGAGAGCTGATATGATTAATGGACTATGGAATGACATTTCTAGAATGGCTATATTATCTTTGTAAGGAATATCGAGCCAAAGAATCCAATGGGCTGGAGGGGTTATCCCATTCATGAGAGACGATATTATGGGCGAGATTATATTACAAATACGTGTGGCATCTGTTGGGAGATATCAACGATGTATCCCCGGTTCAGCTTGTACTAATCGAAGATATCCGTTCATTCTTTTCCAGTAAAATCTACCTTAATAAAGACGGTTCAAGAATACGACAATGTACACATTGAGCTAACTGATTCCAAATTGGACTGCTTTGTAACACGTTGTCATAGTGAACTCTGAGATCTTCGCTATGATGGGAGCCTCCAAGTTAGAGAGAAGTGATCAGTAATTAACGCTTCAAGAATGGAATGTCTAACAAACGTGGAGAGTGAGAAGTATCAGCTCAAGGATGAACAATGGATGGGTCGGCGCCAAAATTGAAAGTAGCGGCTCTATAAGAGGGTTGGAACTCCCCAAACTGACAGATTGTCTTCTCATGAGGCAATACACAAGGAGGAAATGACTTCCGACGAGCCAAGTGAAGCTATGTGAGCTACACAGGAGTTGGTGTTCGGGAGTAATATTCATTGGAGAAATCCAGACAAAGCAGTAGTATGGAGGAAATCAGGGACAAATGTAGAAGAAGCCTAAATCTGCGTGAAGTTCGATTCGCAGTCCCTCAACCATGTGACAATCAATATCAAGATCGAACTGAAGCTCTCGAAGGCAATCAATTTTTTCGTTGCTACATATCTCGCAGGACGAAGTCCAAGAGGACGAAGACATCTTATGCAGGGGTCTGCAGATTCAAGGAAGTGAAGTTGCACAACCACCTGAAGAATGTGAACATGGATGAAGCAAAAGAGAAGCAAACTAGGCTGAATTATTTAGGGAGTAAGTGCTCGTACTACTCATTTGCTAGATGTGATGAAGTGGGACAGAAATTTACGGAAGGTTGAAACCTTGGAAACATTAATAATGTCACATAGATGATTAAAAATGAACAATTTTATCAGTTTTAAAAGGTATGAGAAAGAAGATTTATGTGTCGAGATGAACAATAAACTATGCGCAATTACATAAAGGAGATTTCGATGCCCGTCCACGAATTTCAATTTGGTCAAGAGCCATCTAGAGGTTACAATCGGATTCGAATGTTGTTGAAATACATCCAGTAGTATGTGAGTCAAATGGATTCTACTTCCGAGGATTGCTCTTCTCAAGGTTTCAAAAGAAATGTCCAGTGCAAGGATCAGAACTCTTTCGTATCCTCACCGTAGAAACAATGTTGGGTTGAGTAAGACCTCAAATAGTTTCGTAAAGTTCTTCCTTAATCTTTCAAGTAATCCAAGCTACAAAATGAGCACAAATGTTACCTACAGATGTGGTGGCATGATCCCAGTAACCAGAATGAAGGCCGCAAATCGTACTTCCACTTACATCGTATTGTGTTTAATCTGTGACCGACATACAGGCCTTCTGAAAAAAGAAATACATATTTCACTGAAACAGGCCTTCGTGCCAAATTTTCATCGCAAGGTACTATTACGCAGTGTTGATTTCTAAACAAGGTAAAATGTTCCTATATCAACTCTTACCTGCTCAGTTACAGTGATCATTCTCCCGTGCAGTACCGAAGAAAATATTTCTTGTACATGGATCGCACGGCCTATAAAACATGATTCCTACACTATCTCTCCTACCCAAAGCTTTTGCCGGCAGGCATAAACCTATCGCCTACACTGGTTCTTCTTCAATGTGTAGTCTAGTTACTGATCCTCAGGTTATCAACAGATGATAAATATTGATATTCACCTGTAGCTTTTCTCGCTTGCTTCATGATACCCTGAACTCACCTAAATAATTTTGTGACCTTCTATGATCCAGCTATAACAGCTGAGGAGGAGCCAGGCCTTCACTAAGTACAAAACTAAGTGCATTTCAAAGCAACTGCTGGAACCTGAAACAACAGACCGGAGGCAGCACTCGATAAACCAACAAGGAGGAACACGTTGCAGCGCTTCCCGTTGACTTAAAAAAAATGCTTTCACTGTGTTTCAACACCACGTTTCATTCGAAATCAAATAAATATGGCTTCACCAGCGAGCGTACGCGATATCTGCAGAGCGAGAAAGTCCCGAAAAACATGCACCTGAGTACAATATTTTGAGGTCAATCATCCTCTTCGCTATCACTTACAACCACCCGCATTCCTCTCCTTTGAGTGGATTTCTTGGGTGGTGATGCTTCCCTCTCTTCAGATCTGTCCCGACGCCTCTTCCTATCATCATCATCGCGGTCTCTCCTCCGTTCCTGAGAATCCCACTCGTTAAAACACGTCAATTTTCTTAGTTGAGAAAATGAGTAGATTTTGCAACTGCATGAGTTCGACAACTGTCATTTATCGTACTGACAGATCTCAGCTCGAATAACCAACTGAACACCCTCCCAATAGGTCATCCTAGGTCCACAGCCTTAGGATTTACACACAGACCACCGATAAAACGTAATAGTCTCGAATTCAATTTGAAGGACCCAATATTCTTCGGCGCCACAATACTAGGAGGTTTAGCAGAGTTACCTCTCGATCAGAAGCCTTTCCCTTATCTGACCACTTCCTAGGATCCTCCTCTTCTTCGTCGTCCTCGTCCTCATACTCCCTTTCTTCGTCTTCCAACGGAAGTTCCTCTTCATCTTCAGGGTCAGTCTCATATGCTGACTCTTCACGCTCGTCTTCTGATGTGTCTTCAAGCATTTCCCTCCTAGAAGGTGCTGCCCGCCGGTCCTTGGCTGGGGGCCTCCTAGGCGGGTGTGATTGCTACATATCCAAGGAAGTCAATCTTAGTGCTTTGAAAACAAGACAGTCATAGAATTCAAGACGAAGTTTTCAGCATGATCTTCATCTTTAACACGATATCAAAGAAATACAACACTACTTGGCAAATTTTCGGTGGTGCTCTCCATGTTAAGTCAATAGCTCAAATTTCAAGTCACTCTGAACTTTTTAACATGCTTCGCATCCTCGTACTCTAGTGAGACATTCGAGACAAATAAATCTGGCACCACTCTCAGATATTTCATTACCCTGTTAAACGCTTTGGTCCATGAATCCATTTCCGCTATCCTTTTCGGGTTCATTATAGACCTAGATTAGGATATTTAGGAGTAAGGAATCAAACAGGTTTTGCCTACCCTAACATTGTGTCACTAGAATCTTAGATCTCATATTTAGATGCCAGAATTAAGACTAAAGTAATGACCTGATATTGATCGCCGTGTAGAGGTTCATTCGAACAGGGACTGACAATCTGTGCGCCCCTTCGGGCAGGTTCATGCTTGAAAGGATTATGAAGATTGAATTTGGTATCTTCAGCTTCCAATTGATCTCCGTATTAATTCCATGTATTACGAAATTGAAACAAACGGATTTTTCGTTGTTGAAAAGTTTCATTATTAGAGAAGCTCTTCATTCCTTTAATTTTATGGGACAAACCTAGGCTTAATTGCGCCATTCAAGAACATTAAAGTTGAAAGGGATGTGGGAAATGCACGAATCGAGGGTTTAGCGTAAATCTTGACAAGAGGCCGATCCACTTAAATATTTTAAGCATGAAAGATACACTTGTTCGAAACACTTCCTTCTGATAAGTCAACATACCCGCTTGGCATTCAATATTCGCCTCTCAGCTCGAGTTTCATCGTCCAACTGCTGCTGGAAACGACGTGAGTCCATACTCCTCCTACTGCCTCTCCCGTAGTCATCAGCTTCCTCTTCCTAGCAAAAAGAAGCAAAAAGAAACAAAAAGAGTCAAGACATACACCCAAGAACACAATCCTCAGAGCATGCAGGAACTATTGTGAATGCAAACCAAATAACTTTTAGTCGTACCCAGTGAATCATTCCCCTTCTAAGTGTTAGATGGAGAACTACGGTTGCTGATCCAAACTCACGAAAATTAGTATAATGGATAAGGTATTTAATTAGACTAATTGGCGTATTTCAAACCTGAATTCTCCTGCGATAAATCATGTCTACAGCAAATATCGCACATACCTAGACTAGGTGGAGGGAAATCAAACATACTGAAAACAATTCATGTCAGTCATGACGAGCGGGTAAGTAATACGCGCAGTGAGCACAACTCCCAAGCATGCGTAAATGGTAACCATAAAAGTAGAGAAAGGCAGCTCGGCGATAAGGCAGTAATGTTTTGAGAATAAGATTGTTGAAGTAGAACTGCAGTAAAATAACGACGGCAGAAAAGAGCATCTACCTAGCACCCCACTCTAGGGCATAAAAAAGACGGCGTTCGTACGGTCAATGAAGTGTACAACAACACCTGGAACAGGTATATGTTAAGTTTAACTATTACATTCAACGCCCCAGAAAAACAATATCTCATGAAAAAATACGGAGAGTCAACAAAACGTACGAATACTACACGGGCGAATCCCAGAGTGCCGGTTGTCATGACGATGGCATAGGAATGGCATAAGAATCAGCCCGATTTGATCTATCTTTTGATTCAGACATACATTTATATTGTTACCTTCAAGGTTGCATAAAACAAGAATTCCCAGTTCAGAAATCCCCATAAGGAGTGAACGCTGCATTGGAAGGAGCTTTGAGGTTTCGAGTTCATTATGGACTTCCATAAAGAAGATGCAAAAAACGAAACAAAAGACCGAAGCTCACCTCTTCCAAAGCACCCTCAAGGTATCCTGGAGAAAGCTGTGCTTCTCGATCTCGAGATGGAATGTGACTATATTTCCGAACCATTTTGTCCTGCTTGCGTTGCAGATCCGTCCTATTTCTAATTCGCTGTTCCACTGCCTGCATTCCCAAACAACACATTTCATATTCGAGATGAAAAGCTAAGGATATAATAACTCAAGTAGGTACCAACAACACCTCGACTAAGTCAACGTGTTCCAGGTGGATATTTCCCATCTTTACAGCAATAAACAAGGCACATGGTGAAACGAACCTTTAATATAATTAGAAAGATCAACAGAGGTCAGGGTAGTACCTTCTCCTGCCCTTCCTTTTCTTTATCTGGATCTATGTTGGTAACAATACTTCTAACTCTGAGAACTTTCTTATGCCTTGAGTCCACCAGTGCAGTCAGCAACTTGTGGGATTTCGAAGACAAAGATGATGGCATGAACTTCATCTTACGCAGTAGGCGCCCTTGTGATTGAAGAAGACTCTACATACGGCATAACGTTCAGAATGAAATTTCGTAAGATGTTTGACTTCTGCTTCCAAAACCTTAGTGCAAAATTGAAAGAATTGAATAACTTTTTCATCTCCTCCAATCCAAATCCACATTAAACGGAGGCCTGTCAGTTAACCTTAGGATGGCGTATGAAGAGATGTGACTGGTCATGGCGGGAGTCTTGCACAGAGAGATCCAAAACCTCGCTTCCAAGAAGCAGCTGCATGCTATTATCGGACCATTTCACAAATCTCGCATTGCTTTCAAACTGCATACGAAAATAATGAAAACGAGAGATTTAAGTTCAAGTTGAGTTCCGTGCCAACACAGGTGATTCTCCTTACTCGTAGTACACACTCACAGCACTTCCTATTCTCTTCAAATCATAAGTGGAAAAATACCTTAACAGGCCTTACTCGAAGAAGTAGACAACAGAATAACGGCTAAAATCATGCCGAGATACCGTCAAATAGATTCTTCAACTTCTATATTGTCTTTCCCACAGTGAGCTGTAAGAACTACTCACAGATTCACTGCCATCGCGATTATGAACGATCCGCCAGCGTGCAATATTCTCTTCAAGACGCAAACGCTGTTTTTTACCCTCGGCATCAGTCACAAAAGTTGACTCTTCCACATATGTCTTCGGATCGAATGGTCTTGATTCTATACCCATAATGTTCGAAACTCTGACGAGGTTGAGCTGTTTAATAAAACATTTCAGAGCAACAATTTTTTAAATGTTCTAAAACATAATCCAGCATGTGTTTAGCGGGAAATATTCTCGGAAGAGAGGTCGCATACAAGCAACAAAACACCAAGGTAAAAAAGATTTCCAGATGAATACACACAAACACACACAAGTTCATAATCGCAAATATGTATTTTTCACAAAGTAGGCTACAAACCGACATAAGCTTCAATGGTATCTATTCCATCATGTCAGATATAAGTGAAAAATGTCATCATGTAACGAGAAAACCCTGCAGAGACCACACGATGAATACAAACAAGCACGGAAAATTAATATAAACTGCAAAATGATACGGTCTTCAAGCGAAAATAGCATGAACTGGTCTTCGGTACCATCTTCAAGAGTACCATCTTCCAGGCAGTTTGAGGTGTCGTACAGGTGAGCTCAACATGGAGACTATCAGGACATCACTCACACGTTACCTGTTCTGACCGTCCGGGGGGTGGTCTCAGAGGAACTTCAAGTTCCAGAGGAGGACCAACAGGTTTCTCCCTCTTCTTCTCGGCGTGGCGATCTTCTTCGGATTCGTAACCGTCGTCCATGTCATGTCCGACATCTTGATCACTCCTATCGTCTTCAGAATGGACTCCTTTCTAGATCCAGAAAAATTCCATAAATGTGACAGGTAGAGAAAAACTATCAGTTGTAGATGCTTATGATAGCCTTAATTGTATAAAAAATATCTGGGAGCAGATAGTTTCTTTTAGAGGTTACATTCAGCTATATAGTCGATGCAGAATATTAAAGTCCGTTCGGACTGGAAAAATATCACACTGATATTTTGCGATCACAATCTTTTGTCCACATCATGTAAGTAGATCACTAGTCGAAACCAGTATACAAGTATACAACACCTATTTAGGAGCACTCACCTCAACACTTGCGGCTGGACTGCGCTCTCTACTTGTACTCCTCCGCCTCTCTACTTCTTGGTCGTCAGAATCAGAATCACCGAAAACATCACGGGCTTCGGCAACTCCAGGAGAGGCTTGTTGCTCATCGTCACCTTGCTCCTCGTCGACAGGGTCTTCCTCAACTTGCTCCTCATCGACGGCTTCATCCTCGACTTGTTCGTTCTCACCTTGCTCGTCATCACCTTGCTCACTAATTTAAATGCCAAGTCCAACGATTGGGTTTGATCATTGAAGACATCTCACACCAAACCAGCAAAACCCACCAGTATGTAAAAAAGCGAATGCTTCCTTTGGTCTAAAATGAAGAATACTGCTAAAGACAGTGATAACAAAGGTGCCATTTCGGAATGGACATCTATGCTCCTCAACTGACTCCACAAGTAAATTATGCCTGCTTTGGTCTTGCTCTCATTTGACTTTTGTTTTGATTACACCATATTTCGTTTTGTTTTGTTTTGTTTTGACTTTTGATTACACCAAAATTTCTTAATGGCAGTTAAGGAGTGTCAAGAGACTAGCTTCTTATCCACACAGTGGTTGCAAGATAAACATTCCAAGTATATTCTTTCCACTGGATCATAACTAGAGGCTATATTTCCTACTGCTTGTGAACCTCATCTCTGAAAGAAGCGCTGGCTTTTAACAAGAAAACCAAAATTCCAGCTGATTCTCTTGGTTGGTGTCTACCTGGTGGCCTCATGGACTTCCTCCACTTCGTTCTCATCATACTCCACAGCATGGCTACGGTGATGCGAGGTCTCCGATCCGCTCATGCTCTGCTCAGCTTCCTCTCCTTCTCTGTCACTGGCAACCTCTCTGTCACTAGCTTCTCGCTCGGCCTCACTCTCCACTTCTCTCCCACTCTCACTGACAGCTCGTTCACTCTCTCCGCCGTCCATGTCACTCTCAACTTCGACATCACCTCCACCCTCCCCTTCTCCTTCCTCGTCGTCCCTCCCCTGGTTCACAGAAGAATTCCGAGTCAAAAAAAAAAGTGATATGCATTCACATACTTAACTGTACCGTATTAAGAAAGCATATTAGAAACAATTCACTTGTGGGAAAATAAGATCTCAGCTAAATATCATAAAGAGACTATATTCAAAAACTAAAATCTGATGAAGATTAGTACGGGCTTGGCTATACAAATGAAACCTCATGAGACCAATATATAGCAAATATGACATAAAACTCACAGAGTTGGCAGAGTTGGAATTGTTGGAATCGGAGGGTTTAAGCTCTGGTTCGTCATCAGAGTCTCCCGACTCTGCTCCGAACAATGATTCCATCATTTCATGACGATTGTCGTCCCCCATTTCGAATGCAACCTCAGAACAGTAGAAGTGGGCGGCAACCTGTGTGGAAAAGCTGCGACGCAAGCAACGAAAATAAAGAGTGTAAGCACGCGTAGTCTTAGAAACTAGTAGTCAACTAGCTCAACCAAAAATCTGCACGAGGTCGTTATTGGTGACCTGACACTGAATAGGTGAGACGGCTTCATAGCTAAACAGAGAAGCGCTTGAATACCACTTCAAACACTAGTCGAAGCCACGTTTGCATCCAAAAAATCCACCATGTCAGGCGTACTGGTCGTTCCTCGGCGATATAACCACAGGCATTTAAGCGCCTTCGGTAGCTTCTCGCTGTAGTGAGAAGAATTATCAGCCTGAATACACACTTGCTATAATTCTCAAAACCATCGCGTTTATCGTAAGTAAGACGCTTGCACGCGTACCTGATCTCCGGTTCAGTCGCCCCCAATCAACTCGGCCCAGATCTTCACCAGGCTCATACGCGCCGGGCAGCAGCAGTACCTGAAGATGAGTCTCTCCCTCTCTCTCTCTGGCTCTGTCACCTGAAAATTCACATGCACGCTGTGTGCTTCCCTTCGCCACTGTCAAGCGCGAGAGAGCACTGCAGGGACACGAAACGGCAGATAATCCAGCACGTCACGCGCCTGCTTGCACCATCTGCGACAAGCTCCATGCCAATCCGCTAGCTCCAATTGATTTCAGTGTCACGACAGGCATTCGTCAGAGGTTTACGATGCCTGTCGTACGACTGAGCAACAGACAATGAAATGTCGACGAGCGATCACATCTCCGGAAAGCGACGACTGACTGAACCCAAACCTCTCTCTCTCTCTCTCTCTCTCTCTCTGTTCTGTCTCAGCAAAAATACAAAGCCATCGACAACGACATGAACATCGTGTCTTCCCTGTCAGACAACTCCTCTTTGGCTTCAGTCTCTGTCATAGTCCATTCTCCAGTTGCAGGTTTCGGACAATCCCGGACCACGCGGATTCTACGCCAATTTCCAGTTTACGGTTCTCTTCGCCACAACAGGAAATTAAGGGTACGATAAACCCTAAACCAGTCCCCGTGCATTTGTTTCGTGACTTGTCGTCTAACATTCCCCCCTTGACGCAACTCTTTCTGTGACTCAACATTCGATCAGGGAATAATCAGTTTCTGAGATCTGTCTATCAATGTCGTATCCACCTCCTTGATTTTTCTGTGTACCTCCGTATCATGTGTAACCCCTTCGTGATGAAAGAATTTATATTCTTCGATCTTGAAATTGATTCCAATTTTTCGCTAATTTTATCTCTTTTAATGTCTGACAACTACACCTTTATGGATCGTTCCACCACCACCTGCCATTGCGTTATGAATCAAAAGATATCATTTGTTATGCGATGAGGAACGTAATACCCTTGGTATCGTAAAGTGTTCCAAAACTATATAAATTTCAGCTGTGCATCTAGAAGTGGTTGTGTGGTGACCTATTTAAGAAAATAAAAATTCTCATGCAACTGTGAACACTAACTTCGCAATCTAGATCGATAAGACGTCAAGTTCGAATCCTGGGTTGAAACCGTTCTACTTTTGAGATAAGTAAAGTGTACCTCACTTTTTGTTAGAGTGTTATTTTTGCAAAATGTATATCTAATCTAGTTGATGAAATACCAGTATTTCAATTGCAATAAATGAAGCAGCTGAATATTTCTGTACGGTTCAATTATGTTCTAAAATTATTAGATTCTTTCCATCAAAAAACTTTATTGTTTTTTAAAAGGCATTTTTGCACAACTTTCTTTTTATATAAAAAAATATAAAGGAATATCATATCCGATGATATATAAAGTATTTGATATAAAATTCCTTGAGACTATCAGTTAATATATATATAAATTTGGTTACATATTTAATTCTCAGACCTTAAAGTTAAACTAGGTATGTATTCTAACTGATTTACTTAATTGTAATGTTTTCCAATTTATACAATAACTATGGTTTCATAATTTTTTATTTGTATAATTTGGTGTTAATATACATATTTTTTTTAAGGAGATATGTTCCAGGTGCTTTCAATGATTTAAGAAAAATGAAGTGCTTTTTTGAAGTCAACGCAGAGTATGAACATAGATAACAAATATTCTAAGCAATTATAATAATCTAATTGTGACCATATAAAGTCAAAATGATGTGAAATCAGACAATTTTGAATAATTGGGTGCTTAGTGCTCAACTTACACATTTGTTTTCAAACCAAAGTGATGTATTCAACAAACTTTAGCATTTGTTTTTTGAGTAGGAAAGTTTACTTATTAGTTTACAAACAATACCTTTGATACCAACATTGATCAAACCAATCATATATTTGTAGGAATGATATTTGTGCTTAGTATGTCAGAATTATAATGTAGATTTTGTGAATTTAAAAATGAGAATATCATACGAAATATTATATTGATTTTTTCATTACTTAATTCTGTAATTTACAATTACAGAATCAAGTATTGAAACAATCATACATAACATAGAACAACATACTTAGTTTTGAAAAGTCTGTTTTGAAAAATGATAAATGCACTTTGTTTTCTTGTATGTATAACAATAATGTTGTTTAATTTTTTTCCTATCAAAGCATATAACCTTAGCTATTATACAAAGAGGTTTCCGTATCTGATATGTTCAACCTTTTCATGAAATGGATTGCATACGAAGATAACTCTTGTTTGTATTTACTTGTTTGATTTATGATATATTTTCTTACACAGCTTGGGAAAATTGAAATGTGGGAAGCATTGTTTTTCCATGCCAAGGATGTATATATAATTTGGATCATTCTATGTCTGGAAACGAAAACACTGTTTTCAAACAACGTTATGTCCTTCATCCCGCAATGCACTTGTGTAAGTTACGAAATAAATATTGTGTTGATGTTGTACGGAAGCTCTGCATGTATTTAAAATGTGCCTATAGATTCTTGTCATTTTTCATCTATACGTGAGGTAAATTTTATCAGAGGAATGCGCAAAATTTAGTACACATGTAACACTAGTTTGTTTTCAAATGTGTTATTTTAAAATTAATAGTATTGTCATGCACACAATCCTTTTGCCTTTAATCTATGTTGGCATAGTCTCGTTGCAGGTGATGAGTACTCTTTGATGCGGTAGGCTCGATAAAGTGTCTCAATTTCAATGATGGTTTTTACAAGGCTAAGACAGTAGTTCGGATAAATTCACCAGCCCTCACGCTCCATATCCGGCATGAAATTAAGTTTCAATCTGGCTAAGAGTCCAATGACTGCATCTTACAATTTGAAGTGCGGAAGCAACCATAAACCGACAAGGATGGAAGACAATTTAGAAAGATTTGCACATCTGCGAATAAGAATTCGTAAGGAAAATGAAGGGATGAGGTCAAGTTGACGATGCCAGCGGTAGTTCACTCTACTAGGTGATTGACGGATTCTTCTGACATTCAATCACACACACCCCATCAACTTACATGGTGGTGAGCTCACCACCGTAACCTACCGCATGTACATTTGAGTTGAGTGCATGAAGATGATAGTGTTGGCAAGAGAATATGGAACTACAACAAAGCAACCACCCTGGTCTGGCCGAAATACTAGACTTCTCCCAATATGACTACACCTGGTAATGGTTTATGTACGTGGTCCTTAAGTAAAACTGATTTGGCTCAACCTCACTTCATCCACGTGTTGTAGAGATGAGAACCAAGAGTAAAAAGTTGGTTCTCTATCTCAAATGTCGTACATATGGAACAAACCAAACGAAGTATGGAAGTGCTGTATTGGGCCAATATTGATATCACCACCTCAGTGGGAACAAGCATCGTGTGGACAATATATATCGTTTGATGGGGTCTTCCCATCCTTTTTGCTATATACTCGGCTCCCCTTAGACAATAGATTGCTTAGTGGGCGGCCTTGGCTTTCTCAGCTGCGAGGTCTTTTTTAATGTCACTGATAACTCTTCTGAGGATGTCATGATGAACGACAGGGTTTAGATCCATATAATACAAGAAAAGCTCTTCAAGTTCCCATTCTTTATCTATCAACCCCTCCTCGTTGATCATATGCATCATTGACGTCTTGAAGTCTGCGTAAGGATCCGTAGAGTGCTTGATCAGAACATGACTATCGTCACCGGCTGCGGTAGCCTCATTAGCACCGTTAGTGGAAGACGAAGTCTGATCCTCGCAGGTGTTAGCTCCAGAAGTAGATAGTTGCATTGGTAAGATTTCTGGCTTTGTACTCACTGAGTGGTCGGTCTCAGAGCAGCTTTCATCAGAGCGAAGGACCTGATGCAATTCCTGTTCTGAGCACCCTTGCGCAGCAGCAATTTCATATCTCTTTCCGCAGTTCTTATTCGCTGTAGGAATGCTGCAGCCAAACCTCACCTTAGTGTGGCCGTGGGAGGAAGGAGGGGGAATTTGATTCGGCTTACAAGAATTGGCCTTGGGTTGTGACGGGGATGTCGAAGGCCTCTGCTTGAGGTCGTCGGATCGACCGGTAACCACGGAATCTGCCGATTGGGGTCTCTGATGCTGCTGCTTAAGGGCCCAGAGACCGTAGCCTCGATCTGGAGGTTTCTTCTTATCTCTTCCCAAAGAGAATGATCGACTCGGAGTATTCGAAGGCGAAACGTCTGCTGTGATGGTCGAACAGGGAGAGTTTTCTACACAGTCCGAAACTTCTGCCTGGATATGGTGTCTGCAACTTTTGGGCTCAGTCACACTACTTACTGGTGAAGCGATTTGGTCCCTTCTGTCGGGCTTAGGAACATCAGCGTGCTGCTGCGGAGGCCTCTTGCTTACCAGTCTCGATGGAGGCCTGTCCTGCGGACCGGCTGCATTCATTAATCTCCAGGACGGTGGTCTCTGGTCCATGGATAAAACACTTCCAGACAAACATGACGAGGCTGTTTCCACAGCAGACGAGTACAAGTCCGATGTTACAACCTCCACCTCCGTGGTGGCTGCCCGTGGAGTATGATACCCGGTCACTCCATCCTGTCTTGCAGTAGCGTCTCGAAAAGCGAAGTCTGGGTTCAACCTGAAGCCTCCTGCACTGTGGGTCCTCATGGAAGACGGCGCAGGACTGGAAAATGCTGAAGAGGACTCCCATGCAGCTCCTCCTCGGACAGACTGTGCTCCGCCTGATCTGCTAGTAGTACTGACAGACGACGAAGGTCGCCTCGGAAGGCTTCTGTTGCGCGGGCATTTGTGGGTGGCATCGTACAAAACTGTGGGCTTGGGGGCAGTGTAATGGAGGGGTGTCCCGTTCGAATAAGGGGCCGAACTTGGTCGGCGGCTGAGGGATGATGCTCGGTCTCCCGGATCCCAGTCCTCGGTATTACAGGTCGAGGTAGCGGTGACAGGCCTCCTCAGAAGTGATGGATGTATATCTGCGTCGTAATCTTTCTTCTTGCGCTCCACGTACAAATCTTGTCTCTGGATCCGCGAGCACATGCCTCGTATGTTGTGCAAGTGATTGAGGGCTTGATAGGGAGACTCGCTGTAGTTGAGATGAGTCAAATCTAGTGCGTACTGAGACCGTCGACGGCGCAACCGATTCTTGCTCAGCGTTTCGGCAGTGGGCTCATCCTTCCAGACGGAGAATCCAGTGAAGCGGCTGCTCTTCACTTTGGCTACTTTGCGGAAGAGATTCTTTACCTCTGCCATCTCATCTTGCCAAATAAAAGGTCGGCGACCTCGGTCTTTGTAGGATCCCATCTTTCTCAAAATCTGGTACACAAATCAAGGCTTTACAGTGACTGGTATGTGCTGAAGACCCTCCAGATCACAAGATTCATGAACGCTCTGCTCTACTCATGTTTTACTCTAGGACTCGCCTCCAGGCTGAGCAATACTACGCGGTAGTGACTGCCTGGACATGTTACGGAGGCAAGCAAAAGAGCAGAGCAACAGGATCACATGTATCCAACCAACATCCGTGTGCCGATTGAGGTCTACTCTCGTATAGCAAAGTTGACCTATCCCAAATTGGAAGAGGTTGTTCACATGCTGCTGTGTGTGTTATACCCCATCAGCAGCCTTCTTGAACTTCGCCCGAGTCTTCATTTGGTTCGAAAGCAATAACATGAAGTCGTTGAAGTCGTTTAATCGCCGAGTGTCTCTCACCAGCAGCCTCATGATAGCTGTGGTCATTCTCCACCTACGTTTGTTGTTCAGGTCTGCAATGTTTCTAGCTATTTGTAAGTTAGGCCGCTTTTCGAACCAAGTCTAGTTGAGCTCATTATCTTTACGACTGATATCAAAAGGCCGCGCCTGCCGCATGTGCTGGCAAGAGGGATGTTAAGCAACAACAACAACAACGAGGGATTGCGCTTGAGTCCCTTTTCCTCACACTCTGTACGCGTGAAGAACTCAATACATGTCACACTTCGTTCCACGTCCCAAGCGAACAACAGGATGCAGTTTTGGTCCGCTATGCACTTGCAAATCTCATGGTGTTCACTTTTGATGAACCAATCGCGGCGAACGACCAACTGAACCGATTACGATACGTTTCCTCGACTTTAAATAATTGACTTTGCTCACGATGGGCAAGCCATCCAACAATCCCATGGTTAAGCCCGCGCGATGCTGCAGTCATAAGAAGTCAGACGGATTCCTTCGAGAGCATGAAGAGACTAAAGCAAGAACTAGCTTATGGTAGAATTTTCGCGGCAAAAGTCAGCCTGAGAATGTATACCTTCTAGAAAAGCTTCGGCTGGGCTGCAATAACAGCGCGCGATGAAGAACGGAGTCTGCGGTTAGGCATTGGGTCGGCAGAAGACAACGTGTTTCTCTGAAGAATTGAGACGAGAATCCTGGCAGCCCTGGCAACCAAGAGAACTCGTACTGGACTGTGTGCCGTGTGCAAGCTAGAGAGAGAAACGCTCATTGGCCGACGCCACAACAGCACTTGCACATCTCTCGAGACGCAGACGAGTTTCGTTCAAGATGATCCGATGCGACCTGGTTTAATTCGCGTGCGATCGAGCCCATGGAAGAGACCAGAGAAAGCTCAGAGCCAGCCAAATCCAAGCTTGGTGTCCTTTGTGGACTATCCCCGAATTTCTCGATCTCAGCTCAAAAGCCGGAGCCCTGGCCGAGCATGACACAGCGCAGAAATGGGAGCGGCCACGATTCTGCATTCCCGGACGCCCAGACTAGCAACAGAATCCATTGCTCAGCACCTTCACAGTAGTTACAGTTCCTCTGCTCCCCCGGACTTCCGTAATCCCCTTAACGGACTTCGACGTCCCTTCCGTGCCGTAACTTCCGGTGCGTGCGTGACATCCGTCCAATACAGCCAGCCCTCGTGTTCCAAAGTTGCTCCCCACGGCACTTGGCACTTGGCACCTTCCACGTGTCTCTTCCACGTGGCCTTCACTTGGAGCCCTCGGAAGTCGAGACCGCGTCTACATTTTCAACCTACATTTGCAACTTCCCCCACAGAGATCGTCGATTCCATCTACTTTCCTTTCCACATTCTCCTCCTCAATTTTGATGGACATTTGGCTCCAGAGCTCGGTACAAAGCCTGGACTGAAAGCTTCAGACTACACTATAAAATGTTAGCCATTTGATCTGTGAATTGATATTCTTCTTTACATGAAAGTTTCATTTTCTAGTTCCATCGTACTCTATCACTGTTTGTTCAAAAGCTTACTTTGCAAGTTTATGTGTCATTGAAGAAGAGATATTGGTAAATGATTGATAGTTTTAAAGTTTCCAGAGGTTATACGTTTATCTCAGCAACAAAGTTTCAGAATTTCTTTGAATAAGATGGCGATGAAGTTTAGATATTGATGGGTATCATTGAAACCATCAATTCTATTAGAAAATATAATCAAAGTCATGCAAACTTTCAGCAGCTTATAACTTAGGTTGGAATTAAAATATGCAATCTCTTTCTTTCACTCACCAATAGATATAGATAGAATTGTATCATAAACAGGCAATTGCTATTAATCTGTTTTAATTATAAATATATTTCATAATTTTGTATATAGATTTTATGAGGTTCAAATACAGATTTATACCCTTCAAAATCAGTTGATATATACCTTTTTAATTGATGGAGAGTATATATTTGTTTGATTATATACTCGACAATGTTGCTAAAGTCTAACTCATGACATATGAAGAATCGAATTAAAGAAAAGTAAGTTAGTTTGGTACATGCATTCCACATAAAATCATGAAACGCATATAGATCGAATTAATTCTAACATGTTCTTTCGTAACAAAAGGTAATGGTGATTGAGATGCATAGTCCGTAATATACTGATTGGAAAACAAAACCTTAATATGCAATCAATGAATATCAATCAAGAAGAATTGTGATTTTAAAGTTTCAATTTGGAAGAGGTTTCGAGCGCCGGCAGAACCTGTTACATTAGCATATGCACCAGTCGAGCTGACCCCGTCAGAGCAGAGCGAGCTGAGAGCTTTCTGAGCTTTCTGAGCAAGATGGGCATGTATGATGGCAGGACCTGACAGAGGATTGACGTTTTACAGTGGAGCCTGATGATAGAGAAGGCAAGTAGAAGAGAGATTGAAAGAAAACGGAGGGGAGAGGAGTGTGTTGGGGCTCAGTCTACCGACAGTCGAGAAAAGGGATCAGAACATTGGATGGATTTGTTGGTTTTCTGCACGAAGAGAATACGTGTGCTTTTCGAGATCATCAGGGTACTCCAAAAATCCAAAACCTTATTATGCAATCAATGAATAAGTTGGAATGGAATATATGTTCAGAATCAAGTTTTGAAATCTTCTGAACTGATATGGTGTCTTAGTGCCCAATTGGGAATGGATACAAATTCTATTGTCATGTCAAGATTTCAGTTCTTAAAACAACTGAGTTATATAAGGTTTTGATGAAATATATCACAAAAAGCTATATGTTTGTGTTTGGTGAAGGGATAATTTTCAAATCATTTTGCATCAATGAAATCTGTTTAATCGATTTGCATGAACTATCCGGGATGATCCTTGCAGATGGTATTAAAGTTCTTAAACATCCAAAATAGATTCCAACCAAATGTCACGAGTCACTAATTTTCAAGTCGAACTCTTGACAAGCATACAGCTTCTTTTCAGGGTCACTATCACAAATACCTCAAAAGCCTTTGTGAGGACCTTCAAAATATACTTGTGAATAGACAAAGAAAAGTCCACCGAAAGAGTCAGATCAATTGTCTCCAGCATATTTCTGAGGTGCTCCTATCAACCTCAGCTCAACAGGTTCAATTCTGATCGGAGAGAAACTCGAACTGGTCGAATTGACGGCATTCTGAAATTCTGAAACTGTCATTACACGTCGCCGGTCGTCGGGCAGAGCACATGCATGCGCTGGATCCGCCGAGGGATGAAAGTTTTGGTGTGCTGGCCTCGGAAGAGCCGATTGTCCGCACACGGTCGGTGCCATTCGAGCTCGCGATCCCCGACGCCACGAGGGAATGGGGTTGCTAGGTTTGGTGAGCAGTGATCGATCGATCGGGCGAGCGATGGACTGAGAGCGCGGTGCGATGGATTCTTGCTCGCGGGTCGTGGTCCCTCGCGCGATGGGCTGGACTTGTGTGCAGCGGCGGAGAGAATGTGGGGCTCGAGAGTGGGGCTCGTCCAGGGTTGTGGTGGCCAGGATGTGAATTGCCCGATTCGAGGAGTGGTCGATCGGATCTGACCCGCGACGTCATCAGCCGGTTGGATTAGGAGTGGTGGCAGCAGAATCAGACCAGCGAGATGGCCGCCACAATGATCGAGTCTTTCTTCCAACGGAGTTTGGAAGATATGGTGAAGGGGCTGCGCACGCAGATGATCGGCGAGGCGAAGTATCTGTCGAAGGCGCTCGATGAGGTGAAGAAGGAGATCAAGTCGACCGACCCCAATACGAAGGCCGTGGCCCTGCAGAAGCTGACATACCTCCACATGCTCCACGGTGCGGACATGAGCTGGGCCGCTTTCCACGTCGTCGAGGTGATGAGCATGGCCAAATTCTCCCATAAGAAAATTGGATATCTTGCTGCTTCTCAAAGCTTCAATGAGGGTACCGACGTTCTTCTACTGATTACTAATCTTCTCAGGAAAGATTTCAGCGGAAAGAATGAGTATGAGACGGGCTTGGCCATCGAGGCTCTCAGTCGGATCGCTACCCCAGACCTTGCTCGGGAACTGACACCTGATCTTTTCATTTTACTCGCCAGCGGTCGTCCGTTCGTGAGGAAGAAGGCCACTGTTGCCTTACTCCGTGTTTTCAACGAGTATCCGGATGCGATCAGAGTAGCATTCAAGCGACTGGTGGAAAAAATGGGGGATACAGATCCTGCAGTAGTCAGTGCAGCTGTCAGTGTGCTGTGCGAATTGACTTTGAAAGATCCTAAACCTTATCTGCCTCTTGCCCCTGAATTTTATAAACTTTTAGTTGGGTCTCCCAGCAATTGGCTCTCCATCAAGCTGGTGAAGATTTTTGGGGCGCTGGCTCCGTTGGAGCCTCGCCTTGGCAGGAAAATTGCTGAGCCCCTTTGTGAGCTCATGAGGAAGACTGGGACCAAGACAGGTGCAAGGTCGCTGTTATTGGAATGCATCCAGACGGTCACCTTGGGCTTGTCGGAACATCAGGTTGCTGTCAGACTATGCGTCGAGAAGCTCAACGAGCTTATGAGAGAAGAAGATCGAAATTTGAAGTACCTGGGACTGCGCGCTCTTGCAAACTTGATGGCTGTGCACCCTTGGGCTGTTGCGGAAAACAAAGACGTAATTACCAAGTGCCTTAGTCATGAAGATCCCAGTATTCAGAAAGGTGCCTTGCGCCTCATCATGGGCATGGTGTCGGATGATAACGTGATTGAAACAGTTCAGGTCCTTTTGCAGTACGCACATAGTACAGATTCTGCCTTTTGTAACGAGCTTGTGTCGGTTATTCTCGCCACCTGCAGTAAAGATCAGTATGACTTAATATCTGATTTCTCATGGTACGTGTCTGCTCTCGCGGGGATGGCACGAGTTCCGCAATGTGCACATGGGGAAGAGATTGGACGACAACTGATTGATATTGGATTCAGAGTGAAATCAGTTACTACAGATGTGCTGAAGGCAGCACGTGAGTTAGTCGTGGATCCAGCTCTTTTAGGCCGTCCTTCGCTTCATGGAGTACTCTCTGCTGCTGCCTGGATTGTTGGGGAATATGTGGCTTTCTCGCACAATCCGTTGGAGCTTATTGAGGGACTTCTTCAACCACGAACAAAACTCTTGCCAGCCTCTGTGCGCGCCGTTTATGTACAGGCGGTGTTCAAAGTCTTCGTATATTCTACAGCAAAATATGCTTATTTGGATGTTGCAACTGCCAGGATGACTGATGGGGATGAGCATCTGGGAGTTTTGTCAAAAAAACAGTCAACTGCCCAAGGAGAAGTTTTGAATGATATTGGATTCAGCTCTAGGGTGTCGCTTGATCACACCCAGGACCATCACATTGACTCTGGTGGCCGTAAATCCGATCCAGAAGCAGGACAGAGCAGTCGGATCATTGTAGACAGTGCAGAAACGAAGGATTGCTCTCGGGAGCTTAGACCAGGTGTGAATGGGCTTTTGGAAGCTATGGTGGAACTTATTGCTGAAAATGTTACCCCGCTGGTTAATAGTGTCGATGTCGAAGTGCAGGAAAGAGCTTGTAATCTCATGGGATTACTACAATTTTTTAGGGATATTCCTGGATTTCCATCATCAGAATTCCGAGGATCCGCACAAGTGTGGGAAATCAAGGAGATGCTGGATGCGCTGCAAGCAGTCTTCGCGGTGGAACTGGGCCCCGTATCGATTCATGCGCAAGGCAGGGTTTCCGTCCCGGGGGACCTAACTGTCGAAAATTTGGACGGTTTGGGCTCCTTGCACACTGAGGAAGTACTGGAAGGCTCAAGTGAAAGAGAAGGATATCGACAGTGGGAAGAAGGAACCCTTTTCTCACCCCACAGCAAAGGGGTTGAGAAATCGCAAGTGGGTGAGAGTGCAGCTCTTTTGGCACAACATCGACAACGCCATGAGAACTTTTATTTGCTCAGTGATGAGAAGCCAGTATTAAGTTCTCTGGATTATCCCCCTCCTCGCATCGCAAGCATAGATTCTACAGGTTTTCCTTCCATAAGTTCTACAGAGGTGTTTCCTGTAGCGGAGCACTCTTTAGCCTCGGCGAAGCCTCGTCGGTCCAAGGCTCGACCTGTCGTTGTGAAGTTAGATGATGAGGAAGAGCAAGTCGAGTCATTCTCCAAGTTGAAGATGAGGGATCTGAAGGATGACTTCATCTCAAGTGCGATACGGGATGTACTTGCAGGCGAGCCTCGGTCTGGCAGCAAATATCATACTCCTGCACAAGACTTCGAAAGGAAAGACTCTGTACGAGTTCGGCATCAACGCTCAAGAACGAGTCGTACATCGAGGCATTCAGAACGTGAAACAAATAAGGATCAGGCATCGCCAGGAACGAGAAACGAGTCAGGTGTGGAGAATGCTTATCAGTCCAGTGAAAATGAAGGCAAACCTTCAACTTCGGGGAAAAAATCAGAGCACAGCAAGTCCTCAAGCAAAGTTCGGCATTCAAAGCATGGAAGAAAAGCGAGGTCAAGCAATGAAGATGAAGATGATCATCCTTTAGCGCGAAAGTCACCTGTCAAGCCCCGCGTAAAATCGAAGAGTCGACGAAATGGACGACATAGAGCAACGAGCCCCAGTCCGAAAGTCGATAACGCACTTCCTGTACCTGACTTTCTACTCTAATTGTGGATTTGATACACCTCAAACATTCGGCAGCACGAGTTATTTGTGCTCATATATATATATATATTATGTCTTCCTCGAATGGTGAGATCAATCTCCTGTACCCATGTATTGTCTGCAAAATTTTTACTGCATGCGTTAATCTAAGTATCTACTGAGTTTTACCTTATAATGCCAGTGTGTCCTCACCAGGTTGCAGGCATCAGGTTATCTCAACTGCCGAGGATACGTCATTTGAAGTGGAAGCTGCTAATAAGTATTGGTGTTTGCTATCAGAAATCCTTGAGATCTGTCAGAGGTGGACTGCAATATCCACTCTGTGGCTTGAAGTAGCTGCTCCAAGCATTGGGATGCACAAATGGCTTGCTTTTCTTTACAAGGCAAGTGATATGTGATGGACATGTCCACGTTGTTGGCATGTGTTCCTTCGCAGAGGGGTGAGACGTCTCAGACCTTCTATTGTTTCCGTTCTTCCTCAGATTTTTTTCACAGTTTACCTTTTAACTCTATTCATGTAACAATATGTATGTTCAAGAGCTAGTCTAAAAGTTATATGAGGTGAACTCTGGAAGTGGTGCTTGGACTATAATAGAAACACTTCACAATACGTTTCACGTCCACTCATTGGCAATGTCGCAGACATATGTTACACTTATGTACATACTCTTCACCCTTTCGCGAAGGGAAACATGAAATACAGGGCTCACATTCATAGTGCAAATTTTGCTCAACAAAATTAGCTTAGTCCTTTGCATGTATACTATTTCACAACAGATTTCAACTTGTTGGCGTCTGATTTTAGATCAGGTCGAGAAGGTTTGTAAGAACAACTATGTCATTGGATTCTGTGCAGAAAGCATTTAGTTCTGCTCTGAACAATCAAGAACTTGAATGTAGTAGCACCGACTTTGTGCCGTCTTGTTGTAAGCTACTCTGTCTTGATCCATCATGATTTGTAGCCAAATTGGATTTCTTAGAATACTTGTGGCTCCAGTAATGAATGCATTCGGCTTTATCAACATGGGCAAGATTTGCCTTCTCTCGAGTACTTCCGCTTTGATCGGATGCTACTCGAGAGTGTAGTCACCGTGATATTTAGTTACATCCGTCTTCCATTTGTGTAGGAACTCATCTTATCTGAGTAGTTTAAGCACTTCTGCTTGGCTCTAGGAGTAGGCAGCTGAGCCAACTTGAACTAGAGGTGTCCCCAGTTCTGGAACTTCTTATGAGATTTGTACATTTTACTGTTTGACTTATTCATTGCCCACAAAGCTTTCCAATGTATCTTCTGATTCAGATGAAAGCGTTTGTGAAAATGGATTGTCTGCCCAATTTTTATGCTAATTTTCCAGGCAAAGTGTACCCGGATTTTGTTAAGTGCTCGGAAGAAACGCAGAAATCCGATGTTGCCGGTTACAGTTGTGTACCACCATATAGTCGCATGTCAATATCTCAACTAAATTCAGCATTACTTTTGTCGGAGGTTTGCATTTGGGTTTAAAATATATCAAGGTGATATTGAGGGGAAGCTTCTACAATGAAATGAGAGCATGATAACAGCCTCTTGTATTCAATAGACCTCTTTAGCAACGAAGGAGATTACGTTACTTTAAAGAGCCTCTCCTTCTGAAGATTGAATTTAATCTTAGTACTTTTCTGTACCTGAAACATTATTAGCGAAGGTGTGGTCGTATATATGAAATGTCTCTGCAACCAGATTTAATATGGTGTTATGGCAATTTATTAGGTTGCCATAACACCATATTAATCTGGTTGCCATAACACAGGTCCCCGGATTGGGTTTAAGTACCCAATCGGAGGTGACAAAGGAGATGATTAGAGGTACACACCTCCGTAGTGGGTACTGTTACGGTGGCCTTTACATCACAGTTGTAGTCTACAGTCCTAACTATAAGTACACCAAGAAGTGACAGCAAGGAATAGGGAGTATAACAGTATTCTAACTCCCACTTACTACCTACTTACTTCTCTCTTTCTCATTTCCAACTAACAAACCTAAATTCTGATTATGACACCAGTGACTTTCTGTAGCTAATGGTTTTGTCATAATATCAGCAATCATCTCTTGGGTTGGAAGATGAACCAACTTCATCAAGCTATTTTCGACTAGGTTCCTGACAAAATGATATCTAATGTCAATGTGCTTAGATCTTTCATGTTTCTTCTGGTTTTCTACTTGTGCAATAGAACTTTGATTGTCGCAAAATATTGTTGTCGACTCCAGCTCAAAGCCTAGATAGTTGAATAATTATCTTAACCATATAGCTTCAGCTCCAACCTTGGACAAAGCCATATACTCAGCTTCGGTAGAAGAAAATGCTACTGACTTTTGTTTCTTTGATGTCCAGCTAATGGTTTCACCATTGAGTTAGGAGCAATATCCAGAAGTAGATCGTCTCGTGTCAAGGCAATCTCCCCGGTCCGCATCAGAATATCCAGTCAAACCGGATGATTTATCAATCCTTGTAAATACAAGGCCAAAGTCGAGAGTTCCTTTCCAGATATCTGAAAATCCTCTTAACTGCCTTCCATTGTATCGATTCAGGATTTGACAGTAGACACTGAACTAACAACATAAGATATATCAGGTCTAGTACAGACCATCGCCCACATCAAGCTTCCAACAGCAGCTTGATATGGTATATCTTTTATCTTTTCACTTTCTCCCACTTAATTGGGAGAGTCAATCACCGGGTTCCATAGGTGTATTAGTAGGCTTACAGTCAGCCATGTTTAACCTCGCAAGTATTTCAACCAAATATCGTGGTTGGGAGATCCGAATCCACCCTTCACGATTTTTGTCCACTTGCATACCAAGACAATGATGAATCTCTTCGAAGTCAACCAGATCGAAGTCCGTTTTAAGTTTCTCCTTGATATTCGTAAGAAGATGCAAGGAATCACTCGCGAGTATACAGTCGTTCACATATAGTGCCAAATACACAAATGCATTCTCCTGAGAGTATATATAAACATTCTGATCTGCATTAGCTCTGGTAAAACCAATCTGCAGTAAGAACGATTCATTCCTTTGATACCACTGTCGTGAGAATTGCTTCAGTCCATAAATGAACTTTTCCAGTTTGCATACCATGTTTTTCTCAGAAGAGACATTCAACCCGTCAGGAAGGGCCATGTACACTTCTTCATCTACTAGTCCGTTCAAAAATGCAGTTTTCATGTCCGTCTGGTGCAGCTCCAAATTGTATTGAGCTGCTAGAGGCATTAACACCCTAATGTATGTCATCTTCACCACAGGAGAAAATGTTTCCGAAAAGTCAACACCATAAACATGTGAATATCCTTTCACTACTAATCTGGCCTTATATCGATCGCCAGAACCGTCAGGCTTGTATTTGATACTATAAGTCCATGTACAGCCAACGACGGTCTTGCCCGCAGGTAACTCTGTCAATGTCCAGGTTTGATTTTTCTTCAAAGAAGAAATTCATCTTTCATAGCTTCTTTCCACTTGATAGAATCACCATTCTGTAACGCCTCTTGATAAGTAGTAGGTTTTTGGTGAGTCTCTCCATACGAAAATAGCCCTCGATGCTTCTTCTTCTTTACCAACAGTTGATCATATTTTTCGACAGGTTTCCTTCCTCTTTCCCCCTTGGAAAGATAGGATAGATGGTGCGGGAAGAGGGTGAAGATGCCCATGTAGCTGTATGGTAAGCCCGGGCCTCAGATGTAGTGTCCTGAAGTCTGAGTTCACCCAGTAAGTGCTCGAGGTTGCGAACCGTATCAACAAGAGGAGTAGAAGAGAGAGGAATACTGTTATACTTCCTAATCCTTACTGTCATTTCTTGGTGTATTTATAGTTAAGACTTTAGACTACAGTTGTGATGTAGCGGATAGGGTAACCGTTACCCACAGCGGAGTTGTGTTCCTCTAATCATTTCCTTTGTCACCTCGGATTGGGTACTTAAATTCAATTCAGAACTCAAAACATGTGTCAAATCATTCTTGCAGTGCTCTCTAGTATTTTTTCTAAAATGGCATCAGAACTACTCTTTAGAACTCAAAACATATGTCGAACCATTGTTGCATTGCTCTCTAGTACATTTTCTAATATGGTATCGGAATTACTCTTTAGAACTCAAAACATGTGTTGAACCAGTCTTGCATTGTTCTCTAATACCTTCTCTAATATGATATCAGAGCCTGGTTCTCTTCTTATTCAAGGACGTTTGAATCAAATAAAAGCACGAAGCATGCTTTTTGCTTCAAATCATTCTCTGTGTTGACTGTTATAGCAATTTCAAGGAAATTCTCCAAAATCCCGCCGGCTCCAATCTTTGACTCAAGCTCTTCATGCAGGACTATGCTCCGCGTCTCTTCTAATGCGGATGTGATGACCGTATTGAAGAACTATACCTGTGACTTGTTGAAGGTTCGCTGTCCGGTGCTTGAAGGGCGTAATTCGCCAACGAGGTGGAAGCGCTAATAAGAGCGCTGTTTCACAAATTTTTGGGGTCAACGTTTTGCACAAAATCATGAATAACATCCATCAAAGAAGACAACAAGTTATTTATTGAGAAGTTCAACAATCAAGTTCTAGAAGATGATTCTCCTGGAGGTTCAACACAAGTCGCATAGAAAGAACTTCTCCCCAAATTTTGGGGTCAATGTTTTGCACAAAAACATGAAGAACGTCCATCACATAAGACACTTTGTTGAGAAGTTCAACAATCAAGTTCTAGAAGATGATTTCTACTTGGGCTTCAACACAAGTCGCATGGAAAAAACTTCTCCCCAAATTCAATGGGGAGCATTTTCATTCCTGGAAGAACAAGATGAGTTAAATCCTTGAGTCATCAAGTATGTCATGGAAGTTAAAGATTTCTTGCCAACCACTCCACTTGGTTCTGTAACCAATACACATACGTCAAGATCAGGGAGTAAGAAGGAATGGAATGACAAAAAACTCATTTACTTGACGATGTTGAATAACTCGTTGAACTATTATCAACATCCATTGATAGCTCGTTGTGAGACAGCAGCAGAGGCCTAGGTTGAATTACAAAAGGTGAATGAATCCCATGACATCCCGATGCAAATGCACTAGTGAAATGCATTGCTTACGTTCAAGAAGAAGACATGTGAGTCTCTATCGTAACATATCAAAAAAATTTGTTTACTTCTTGATCAGTTGTTTGTTATATGGCAGATTAAATTTGGAGGCCGAAGCGTATAATTCCTACTCAGAAGTTTTTCTACGGAGTACCTACATTTTGTGTGCTCAATGCGATCACAACAAATTTTATCACAAATCCGCTCTTGCAAGTAATCGTTTTGAAGAATCACACCTCCAAGAAAAAGAGTTGATAGGCAAAATGGCAGCACTCTACACCGCAAAGAGACGAGGGTGTACTACCTCAATGATGGACTATGCCAAAGATGATGCATCCAAGAAACTCCACTGTGGTAGGTTCTTCATCACGACAAGATTCTATTGCGAAATCATCTCTTTCTTAGAAAAAGATGATTTCCTAAGCAAAAGATGAAATGCTTCTATTGCAAGAAGCGAGATTATCTTGCTAACGAGTGTCGGAAGAAGAAACAAGACAACTCTTCTGCACATTCTATAGCAAACGTTCAGCAGTTGTATGTCACCGCACTATCATCCATCAGGATAGATACTGCTTGGTATATGGATTCCGGTGCTATCCAACACATGACATATAACAAAAATGCCTTTGTGAAATATACTGAACTACCATAGGAGTAATTCGTATACTGGACAACGACAGTTGACAACCCATTCAAGTAAAAGTTAATGTTCTCATTTTTTTGAATGATGATAGGAGAGTATGATAACTGATGTCTTACATGTTCATGCTCTTCGAAAGAATCTATTTTTGATAATCAGCTTGTTCTCCAAGGAGGGAGTTTATTGGTTCAACCTGATCGATGCATCGACAGTTGACAACCCATTCAAGTAAAAGTTAATGTTCTCATTTTTTTGAATGATGATAGGAGAGTATGATAACTGATGTCTTACATGTTCATGCTCTTCGAAAGAATCTATTTTTGATAATCAGCTTGTTCTCCAAGGAGGAGGGAGTTTATTGGTTCAACCAGTGATAACAAACTTTTTAGGCTCGGAACGACTTCTTACAATACACGCGCGGTTAATGCCAATGTTAGTTATTCGGCTTCCAACACTAAAGAACTGAAAACCTATTAATGGCATCTTAAGCTCGGTCATATGAGTATTCCGCGGATTCAGCAAATGAAGCAGCATCATATGGGACAAGGGTTGGATAAATGTTCCTTTCAAACTCTCTCTTTCTGCACCTCATCTGCTCTAGGGAAGTCCACCAGAACAAGCACATAAATTTCCAAAGCACAGGAGTCACTCGTGCTATATACCTTCTTAGAACACAAACAATTTTTGAGGGAATTACTTGATAGACCACTGGGAAACTCAATCATCTTGAAGGGAACCAACAGTTTTCATTTTATCTGATGGGATCCCATTCGACAGCCACCGAACCCATGTTCTTATAATCTACTGATTGCTCTATAGAGTGGGAAGAGTCCCATGTCTAAGAAAACTACAGCAACATGAGTATGAATTACTCCGGATATGGTCTTGCCGTGACTTCATGTTCTATTCGAAAGAACCCGAGATAGTATCGGAACATCACAGACGTAGGAGTTGCAGGCAGTCAATGAGTCCCATAGTATAAAATGAAACCTACTGGTCCCATCAAGTGTTTTGAGTTTGACCGGAGTCCCATCAAGTAATTTTTTCAACGTTCTCTAGAAGTAAATATTTCATCACATTTATTTGATGACATTTATTTCACGCTCTAGGCATGTGTATTTGATACAACAGAAGTCAGAAGCCTTTGCCAATTTTCAGGAATTCAAATTGATGGTTGAAAATTACCTGAACAAGCGCATCAAGGTTCTGCATTCATGTAATGCTCTTGAATACGAATCTCGAGCTTTTACTGAATTTTGTAAGCTTCATGGTATTCAACGACAGTTTTCTATTTTTGATACTCCCGAACAAAACGGAGTAGCTGAAAGGAAGAATCGGACTTTGATCGATTCAGTTGTGGCTATGTTGACACATTCTGGTCTTTCTCATGGCTGTTTCTCATACTGCTGTTTACTTGCAGAACAGATCTCCATCAAAGGCTTTACCCATGACAAAACCCCTTACGAACTTTGGCATGGACAGAAGCCGGATCTGCGCCACTTACAAGTTTTTGGATGTACTGCCTTTGCCCATATTGAAAAAGGCCATCCGGGTAAGATTGACCCCAAGAGTGTAGAATGTGTTTTCCTTGGTTATTCTCCTACAGCCAAAGGATATCGATTACAGCGAAAAGACTCTCATAAGATTCTTGAAAGCAGATCTGTCAGATTTATGCCTCTTGCAGTTCGGGAAGCTACCTTTTCCCTTTGGCAGGCATCAGTTGTTGCGCCTGCTGAGCAAGAAGGTTTTACTCCCTTTCGCCCTATACCATTAGCTTCATCGACTGATCCAATTCGCAGGTTTCTCCCTCCGCCGATATTACCAGCAGTAAGAGAAATCAGTCCGGTTACACCATCACCTGCAGTGGGAGTTCCACAGGCGCTTTCCACTTCCTCCGTGAATCATACTCCCACAACTGAAGTCTCTGCCACCTATCCGGCCCGTTTTGGCCAGACTTATCAGAGGCGCACATGGAAGCTACGGGAGAATCCTCTCTCTTCTACTCCTCTTGTCGATACGGTTCGCAACCTCGAGCACTTACTGGGTGAACTCAGACTTCAAGACACTACATCTGAGGCCCCGGCTGACCATACAGCTACAGGGGCAGCTTCAACCTCTTCCCCCACCATCGATCCTATCTTGCGAAGGGCGGGGGCGGGGAAGGAGTACCTTCACACTCTTCCCGCACCATCTATCCTATCTTGCGAAGGGGGAAAGAGTAAGGAAACGTTGACCTATCAGAGCTTTTTCTAATATGGTATTAGAGCCCGGTTCTCTTCTTATTCAAGGATGGTGTTATGGCAACCAATCACGTCCGAGCATAACCAGCTTTCAACTAAGAAAAACTGGCGAATTACGTCAGGAGCGAAAATGTTCTCCGCCAGTACGATCGATATGAAAAAAGACTATTGTTAACCTTGATCTCCCGCGGTTTGTAAGAAACTGAGCCGAACCTCGAGCGCAAGAACTACGTTAGTGTTGACACCACTCGATACGTTTATATTATGGATTCCGTGGGACGTAGTTGTTTAAGGATGATAAATAAATATGGGTCTTTATCATGCAAGGAGGATGAGGTACTCGTGGAATAAAAACAGAAAACAAAAGCAAAGGGCAAAGCAGGCTGGAGAAGAACGAGCTCAATGCCAACAGGAAAAAAATCATCCTTGTAGTACACATACAGGATGTACCACAAGTACATATTGTATAGTATATGTCTCATATTGCGTAGTGTTAGTATTGGTGAGGTTTACAAGAAGTTCAGTCAAAGCCAAATCAATTCGTACTACAGTGCATGTGTTTTGTCAAACAAATGTGATGCAATAAATTATAGCTGTGCATCAACACTTTTATCATTGTACACTTGACACACTCTAATCAAGTAGTTAGATGCGTATATACTTATTAGTTACAACATTTATAGCCAATTCTGCACCAAAATTGTCATTAGAGAAAACAATGTCATTCTTTAGACTACAAGCTTAAGAAGTAGATTTTGAATTAGAAAGTCTTTGTTTCAAAATTTGGAAATTAAACTTTAGATATTGCGTGTTTGATGGATAGTAAAATATTAAAGTATTCAAATCACAAAGTTAGTATACTGCAATATCTCTGTTATACTTTGGTTATAAGTAGAGTGTTTTTCTCAATGTTTTGAGAGGAAAGAATTTGACTAAAAATTGCCTTCCAATTTAGCCCTAATTCTATCTCTCCACTTATTATCAGATCATACGACATACTCACTTATAAAGCCAATTCAAGTGTGATGTAGGAAATTATTTTGTTATGCTTATGTAAGTATATGACAATAGAAATACTGTGATTTTTATATGAAGATAATGATACTGTGATGAGTTTCGTTTATATTTAATAACACTCCAGAATATAAACATACATACATCTGTAAGCAATACCGTGATCATTTCACACCGTTGATTACTTCTGATAAAATGAAACAATCAAGTTGTCGTCGATAGATATAAGTTATATCTTTCGACGACGTCGTCATTTGGGATTATATCATATAATCCTTAAAAAAAATCGTATCTAAATAGATATTGTGTTTATTGCATTTCACTTCAATGGAAAAAGATAATTAAAAAATTTGATACATAAAGGGTTGTATCATATGTGCCATTGAAACTATGTTTAAATTTGATATCGGAATAAAATATAATCATAATATCACATGGAAAAATACTGGATGTATTGAAATGTTTGATAATTTTTGAATGTGTTTCGAGAAAAGTACCTCTTACGTGAAAAAGTAATTTTGATAAACATATTTTATAATAGAGATGAACATCCAGGACATTCAAAATAATTCAAATCTGCATAAATTATAATTATTTTGACTATTAATTAGACTAAATTCGTTATCTTTATATAAATATGAATATATATTAATTTTTTATGACACAAACTAGTATTTCTCATTATATTACTTGAGCATTATCTCCCTAAAATGAATAGAGTAGTTAAAGTACATACTATATTGAGAATATTTGTTCCAATAAATAGATATCAAAACTAACAATTCTCGACAATAATTTATCACTATGATGCGCATAAAATACATCGAAGAACCAACTTGGGTAAACCTCGTCAACAACCACATTGAAGATTTTCTCTTCATGGGACACGGTGGAATTGGAGGTTGAGTTGGGAAGGTGAAGAAAACAACGAAGAACCAACTTGGGTAAACCTCGTCAACAACCATATTGAAGATTTTCTCTTCATGGGAGACGGTGAAATTGGAGGTTGAGTTGGGAAGAGAGAAGAAAACAACGCTCTTTTATATCATGCTTTTCAACAACCAAGTAATATGAAATCACAACTAAGTTAGATTGTTGGGGGATCCAAGAACACATCCACTGTTACGAACTTTCATTTGTCGACAAGCTTGCACACAATAAGGTCTCGATTTCCTGCAGTTTCTATCAAAATGGAAAGAAGAGTGGAGCATTGAAATACAAAAATTATACCTGTACAAGCCTCCTAAACTACGGTAATCTAGGAAAAGCGTATCTTCGCTGCATCCGATGTACTTCATCTCCAGTCCTGTATTGCTCAGATGTTTGATAACCTATGACACTCCTCAACGTACTATGTTGCTGGACCCCCAAAGCAATAGCCTCTAATTACTCAACGCCTACTCACATAGCTGTACACATCTGCTCGGTGCAACTAATGAAGAAAAGTTACCTGCTTGCTGTGTCCACGGTATGAGAACATTCATTTCCCAGGTAGGATATGCTTGCCGACATTCTACTTCATTATCTGTAGCTCAAGATAGATCAAGCGGACGCCTCAGACACCTGCCATGCTGCTGCTACTCAATTGCTCAGTTTTGTTTGTCTCAGCGTTTAAGCTGAAATCTATTAGATGCTAAGTTTTTGGCCACTACTCGTACATGCACTGCAAGGTGACCAAACAGTACTAGTACATAGTATGCAGCAGTTACTATGTAGCAGTTTAAGATCAATCTACAAACTCTGTTTTTGCCTGGTTCACAAGAAACAAGCCTTCAGGATGGCCATTAGTACTCAGAATGACCTGTGATCACGTAGTAGGTGTTTCTATGCAAGCAGCCATGTGATCGACCCTTCTGAGTGATCGAAAACCCTCACTTCGTAAGCAACTCTAGTCACACATCATGATTGAAGTTTTCTTTGTCCCACGCAGCAAACAAGGTACATCTCCTCCGTGTATTTTGAAGCACAGATCTTCTAGACGAAAGCTCTCAGAGACGGCGTAAACGCCCAAAATGACTTGTGTTCTCGTAAGTGCCTCCATGGGGGCAGCCAGGTGATGGACCCCTTGGATTGATCATAGACAAGCACTTTTAGGCCCTTTCTCTGAGGGCCATAGTCATACACGATGTACAGAAGTTCTCCCTGTCCAACGCTCCAAACAGGTTGAGTCTCTTCGTCAATGAAGGCTAAGTCCACCATTTTGGCATCCATCAGCCTCATCTCGGAGCCCAGCTCTAGAAGTTCAGTCGGACCACCATTGACGTAGCCCCAATACTGGTCATCTTCCCAATCCACCAATACAACACTCTCACTCTGTGCAGCAACTTGGAATGAACAAAAAAACGGAGACGGTGCTGCTTCTTGAGCTACTTTCCATTCTTCTTTCTCCACATTGAACTTCACCAACGCCTTCACACCCTGTTCATGATTATCGTCGATCTCATGGACGAACCAATACAAGTTCCCATTGCAACAAACGCTCTTTCCAGCACAGATCCATTCCCCATCGTTCAAGGTTGTAGGTAAAAGAGGCAGTGGAGCGGAAACATTCCAAGTGCTTTTGGAAGAGTCATAGATGAAACTTTTCGACGGACCCGCCTCGTGAAATCCAGCAATCACCAGTTTGTAGTGTCCTGTCTCCTTATTCATGATCATGCCCATGAGCATGTAGTTGAAAGGGTTCTTATATGCGGCACCCCGTGGAATTGGTGGGAGTACGCTTGAGGGCAGTTTTAATTCTCTCCACTGCTTCGTGAGAGGATTGCATACGATGAATTTCTCCGGTTCATACTTACTGCTGAAACATAGTAAGCCTTCATCGGAAGCAACGAAAGAACGCGTCCCAAGGAAAGGAAGAGAACGTCTCTCCCATGTGTTTGTCTTCGAGTTAAAGAAAGCAAGCAAAGCCCCCATCCATATCCCATTGTGGCCGCGGATGCCGCCGCTATGATGGTAGAGCAGCACTGATTTGGGAGAGCGACATTTAGGAGCCAGGGGAAAACATTGAATCAGATCTTTCCAATGCTTACACACAGAACGGAACTTTACCAGGCTTGAATATGGAAGCTTGTATAGCACTTGTTCGACAAGCTCTGGATGCAATTTTCCCCAGCAATTTGGATCTAACACCACATCAGGGCTCTTATCCTCCATTCTCCAGCGTTTAGTACTGCAAAACAGAGACAGGCAGCCGTAAGAATAAGTTCAACATGTTCAAGTCAGCACTATTTAGTGAGAGAAAAAAGTAGAATACATGGTCGTTCGAGCCGACCCAACATATAGGAAGCTAACTTTAAATGTGATCATTTAGGACAGTAATCACAAGCTGTCAAACTACTCTGAAACCACGTCTAGAAGTCAAGATGTGATCGAAGGAAGAGTGAAAGACAAGGAGAAGAATGGTGAGCACTGCCTGCTAGCTTGCATACAACAGTATAGTAGACATTTATACTTCCTAGATGCTAACCACTCTAAACCATGTGAATACAATTGGTAACTAGTTGAGTAAAATAAGCCTCACGGCTGGATAGCTTACGACTGTGTAATGGTTGGCTAACTGTGAATATGCGAGTTCTTCAACAAATAGAGCTTATTTGATCAGCTCAGAGAAAGGTCAGGAATGAAGGACCATACATTTTTCGCACCACACGCATTGTTGGTGGAATCCCAAAGCAGCGTATTGAAGACCGAATGCAAAGTTTCAGAAATTCAAATTCAAACAGAACATACATGGGTCCAGCTTACAAAGTTCACGTTAAATAAAGATTTTCCCTTCAAGACTTTAATTTGAGGTGTAGCATCATATGTACTACACTCAATGAACACGCTCAATTCAGTGCAAGACGACGCTACATATGACAGCAGTGAGAAACACGGACCACGTGGACGTGCACACAGAATCAGTAGCAAGTAACTACGTGTGAACTGGTTAAGCATGTAAGCATAGCTCCTCTCCAATCAATGGACTACTTGAGGATATTGTGAAATCAAAATCTGATTTCAGATGAACTTTTGATTGCCAGGAACTTCGAATCTTCCAGGGCGTCGGCTTCTAGAAGAGTTCAATCTCTTGTAAAACATAAAAAAAGCTTCCATGACAGAAGTAGTGCCGAATGCGCCTAGCTGATGTCATGAACATCCTACTAGTATAATCTAGGGTTATTGGGTATAGACAAAAACACCGACTTCAAGACAATTTAGCTCAAAACTCAAAGAACTGGCTAAATAGGCTCCTCGCGATTGGAGGGAAGTTCTTACCAGAGAGGTAAACCACACAGGAATCTCATGACCTCAAATCCCAAATCATCAACTGCGTGATGGAAGGAAAAGTCGTTCAAATTTCTTCGAAATTACCACTCTCATATCACCGTGATGAATGATTCAGGCTCATGAGTTCAGGGGGCATCTGGACAGAAGATAGCAAAGTTCGCGTCGTAAAGAATTATCTCCTCTTTCAACTGGAACGTACAAGTTTTAGACCTAAAAGATGGAGAAGGTTCTATCCTCTTGACGCCAGTCTTCAACTCATTGCAGATTGAACCTCGTGAAATCTCCGAAGCCCGGGTTCTAATACAGGTCAGGGTTCAAGTACAATTTCTAAACAATTCAGACGTAGAGAAACCCATGACGGGTAAAGGAAGGAGGAGAAAAATGATCGCAACCATCACCGACTGACCGTGAAGCGGTTCAACAACATCCCAGAATCACCCAAAGCTAATGCATTGAATATATACAAACCTCAATTTCACAACCTGTAGAGCTTAATCCAATTCAAAAAGCGCACAAAAAGCCTTGCGAATTTCTCAGATAGGATATTCTTGATTTCTGATTGTAATGAAGACAAGCAAGGAAGGGATCTGGACTCACCAGTGTGAGCAAAGTGGCTTTTCCGCCTCACCTTCTAAAATCTTCATGGGCCTATCCTCACCTCCTTACAAGTGCGTGCGGCGTTTTTCTAGTACTGACCTTACCCTACTACTAGAGGAGGAGTCCATCGATCTGTTCAAAGGCTTCTCGTGTCCGCCTAAGTACATTCCCCTCGATAGCCGGCCATAGGAGTGTACTTTGAGCAGCCCAACTAAAGAATATCTGCATATGCTTGTTAGAGATATAATTGATCACCTCTGGAAATGACATGAATTTCTTTGACAGAAATGTCAAGATTCCCCAGTACAGTCACTGTTCCCGGACTGTACACACCATGCTAAAAGGTATGGAGACGGCATCTACGCACATTCGCTGTCACGTATTCGCCTGGATCTCCACATATTTCGCATGCGCCTGCACCCGCTCGACGCCTTGCTGATGAAACTCATGAAAGCTATTGGGGCCCATCTCTACACCTTTGAGAACCACTGACCTATCCCGGCCTGCATTTCTGTGGCCTTTTCTAAAAGGATGAAACGGCAGAATCTCACCTATCCTCGGGACTCATCTGCACGCTATTGAGTGAGTGGATCCACCACTGCGGTTCTGCTATGTAATTCTGACTTGAAACCTGTATAAAGTCAACCTCTTCAAAGGTCTTCACCTCTGCAAACTTCAGCTGTCCTTTAAAACTATGCAGCATATAGTTCCACTTTGCTCCCAACCCTGGCTAACTAATCTAGTCACGACAGTATCTCCATTGTGGCATGACATCTGTAACCCCTTCGCTGTTTCGACTCCGAGCCAGTGGGAGATTCCTCAATGTCTACAATCCTCGTTCTCACAATCTTCACATGACTAAATCTCTCAAACCCAGCTAAGAATATACAAGAAAGCCAAGTCCACTCTGCCTCCCGATTTAAATGACCTGCCGCTGAAAGTTGAATCTTTCTGGGTGACCTACCTCCGCAACATCGGGGCACCCTATGCAGTGGCCACCATGAAGCAACGGCGGTCACGTACACTACAGTCTCAAACCATAAACCCCAAACTTCGATTGTTCTGTTCAAGATCACGTCAAGTGTAATGTCTCCGTCCTGGATTCTGCCTGCAACGCCTTTGCCCTCTTACTGGTTCATCCGTCTTCGATTCACTACTGCACGCAATAGCGTACCGTAGAGAATCGAAGGAGTTTGTTACAGGACTATTGATGTACACCGAACTGCAGTCTGAGGGATGAATAAACGCGTCTCACTAGACCTGGATATCGCTGCTTGATGCCCATCGATTTAAGCAGTCCGATGAGAGCTCCAAAAGTGGACCAGAAGGTGGTTCCGAAATTAGTCAGTGATGTATGAGCAGTGGGCATACATAGATGCAATGACCATAAAAAGCCTCAAAGCTTCGGAGCGATGTTCAAACTTGAGCAGTGGCCGCCACGAATTGCGTCGGGATTCGTACACCACTCTCTCACTTCGTTCATGGAAGGGAGACATGTGCACATGTCCAGTTCTTCAGTTTCACCAATGAAAGACCTCTCGAGCTCCGTGAAGCTTGCCGCCCGGAGACACGATGCTCACGTGAGCTTTCTTCTTCGGTCAAAAGTTGCACCAGGTGTTTGACTTGGCTCAGACATCTGGCAGGAACAGATGCCACTCGTCTGCATCAGGACTCGAACCCCAACAGAATCTCTTCTCGGAGTCGGCTGTGCTGGGCCTTCATTCTATGCAAGATTCGAAATCTGTTTCCTTCAGCAAGTCGAATTCTGCGCGACTTCACGGCCTTCAATTCTCAAGGGAGACACCGAGGAATCACGAAAACCGCACGGCGATCAGAACCGAGAGAAATCGGCGTCCCGTTCTTTCAATTCCAACAATACCTCCCTCCCTCGCACCTCGAGCGATGTCTGAGAATTTCATCATAGCCTGCCCTCGTCGGTCCCTTCCACCATTTCGCCGGGAGAAAAAGCGCGCTCGGCCCTTCCGCTTCCGGCACTGTCTTTCGCGGCAACGGAGAGTTTCAGCAGCCGGGAATGTCGTCGCGGTGGCGTAAAGTTTCAAGTTTGTGGAAAGCCGGTGGTCGACATCGTCGACGGGATGTACTTTACACGCGCGTCAACCGAGTCCCGGGAGCCGGAGCGGCCAACTGGACAGACGACGACGTTGGCGCCGGGAGGATCCGGCGCAAAGCGGCGGGAAAGGCAGGGAGAACGTCGCCGTCCACGTTGGCAGGGCTCCAGCTGGCTGCCTGCCTCGCTCGCTCCATTTCACCGGGCGTGCCTGCTGCGGCTGCAAGGTGGCTAGCACTGCGCGCCGACGCGTGGCCTGAGAGACCGGAGTGACGACAAAAGGAGCAGCCTTTGCCACGGAACGTTCCACTGCCGGTTCCGCCCCTGCGAGCCAGCCGGTCACCTTGACTGACCGAGCTGCGCTTGTTGGCGCCACATGAACGCGCCAGCGCGCAATGTCGAAGGGCGATTTGCTCCATTCTGAGTTTCGTGCCCGCCCGAGTAAACCCGGAATTGCATAAACCTCGTGCAGTTGTTGAAAATCCCTGAAATTACAGCGATCTTCTAGAAATTGAAAGCCCTTGGGTCGGATCGCACTTGCCTCTTCGAACATGTGAAACCTGACACTCCTCTTTCGGAGCTCGACGGAGCTGATGGGGACCGCAGACGCTAAATAGGTCCGACGATCCGTTCGTAGCCACGATCGACACGAATTGACGAGGGTCAGGAGTGTAGCACCGACTCTGTTCTCTTTTAACACTGCTTTTGATTCATACGCATCTTGGATTCGCCGGTAGGTAGCAGCACGTGATTCTGGAATCAGCATCAGTCGAGGACCTTGGTCGCACGGCTGGACAGGGTTCTCTCAATTCGATCGTCCGGTAGTCGATGGACATCGGTCGGGAAGGTTTTAATATTATTCCGAGGATTAGAGGGATTGAAACGCTTGAAGCAAAGAGTAGGCAGCCAACATTTGGACCACAAGTTCATCGGTTGCCATTCGATTTTTCCGTGAAATCAAAGCGTCTCTGGGCGTTGGTGGGAAACGAAGGCCAATGTGAACGTGCTTCCATCTCCGACAGGCTTCTGACCAACCTTTCGAAGGGCGGAGCCGGATTTGAGCCAAGAACCAAACAGTTTTCCACGGGTTAGCCCAAAAGCGAGGACTCCGCGACGCAAACATCCTGCCCGACCAGTTATGACCTCATGCAAAGTCCTTGACCTCTACGACCTGCACTTTGACTTGCCCGTCGATGGAGAGACGTAGATGTCAGGCTCTTCCAATATTGGACGAAATTCAAGGTGCGAATCTGAATATATATCTAGTCTCTTCCGACAATTGGACTCAAGCGAGAGACTCCAGCGAAACAGCGGGACACAAGAGATGAATTCGTGTCGGTCTCCTTCGATCTACACATCATCCGAGACCCCTTTCCGACTGGCTGGGGGAACGCGTGACTGACCGACCGGCCACGGCCTCAAGCTTCGGGTGAGAATCGAGCAAGCTCTCTGGACGACACAGACACTGCGGAAACTCTTGACAACGAAAGAATGGAGCAGAACGATACCAGTCGAGACACGGAAGAGGTATCTGGCTACTCGTCCGTGAATGGAAGGCTGCGAAGTGCCGACGACGGAAGGGATGCAGAAGCTTTAGAGGAAACTCAGGAGAAACAGGCCACTTACGCAGGCGTTCCTACGCCAGTCGAATCGGGAGACTCACCCAAGATCGATTTGACAACCGTCGGAGAAAATGTAGCTCGCAGATGTAAAGAAGACGAGGAGGCGGATGTACACATGCGGTCCTTTCAACGTCCGCAAAGGATCGATTCTGTGGGTACGGGGGAGAATGTGGCTACCACAACCTCTGCCAGCGCCCCTGTGCACCCTCCCCAGGAAATGGAAGTGCTAACGCCAGTTGAAGAAGGTTCATCATGTCTTCCATTTCGAAGCGATTCTATGGACGAAATTCTCGACAGTAGCAGGCTGTTGCAAGATGTCAAGCCCAAATCATTATCCCCTTCATCTAGCAGTCGGCGGTCCGAGCCAGCAACAACAAGTTCCCGCCATGACAACATTAACCCTGAACAAATAAGTTCTTTAGCTAGACTTCCCAGCTACACAGTGAACGTCCCTTCTGATTCCAACTTTCCAGCATCCTTAGGTGACACTACCGGATTTGATCCTGGTGGAAGGAGGGTGACAATCTTGAGCATGGATGGAGGAGGCATGCGAGGTCTCATTGCTGCAAGAATCCTTGCTCATCTCGAGTCACTGCTGAAGGTTTGTCCTCCTTCGCTAAGTAAAGGTCTTGCAGTTTGTCCACAATTGTCTTCATTGTGAGTGTGCCTGCTCAACTGACTCCATTTGTAAGATTTGTGCTGCACCTTGGCTGTCAAGCCATGTCGCGAGTAGCAGTTGCCCTCGAAGTTCTCACACAAACTTATCCACTCCTACGTTTGCAGCAGAAGCGATCACTGTTGTTTGTGAGATAGTATGGAAGCAGGAAACGAATGCGTGTCCAGAATCGCTCTGACAAGTTTCTTTGCATGCAGTCAAAAACCGGGGAAGAGGTGAAGCTTTGCGAATACTTCGATTTCTTGGCTGGGACAAGCACGGGAGCAATTTTGACCACAATGATAAACACACCAGACGAAAATGGACAACCACTCTTCACTGCACAACAGTGCTGCCAGTTTTATTCGCGCAATGGAAAGAATATATTTCGACCTCGTTGGTACGACCCATTTCACGGCAAGATGAGGCAATTCTACAGGCCTAAATATTCTGCCAAGAGATTGGAAAGGTTGTTAAAATCCTACCTTATTAGGGATGGCAAAGTTCTCACCATGCGGGACACAATGAGACCATTTTTGGTGACCTCCTTCGACATTTCTCAAGCGACTCCGCACATCTTTGTGAGGCAAGCTGCAATGAAAGACGAGAGCCGCAACTTTCGGTAAGCCAGACTTCACCATTGGACAAATGGTTTTGAGATTCAACTCGAGGATTCCTGCGAAATCACTAAATTTTATAAACAATTTGGAGCTTCATTTCACCAGAATCGAAGCTTCAACTCGTTCTCCGCTCGCATTAATGACTTCTGTGAATCCAGTTCAAAGATTTCCCCTTGCTGTTTTCGTTTCCTGTACGCGGCATCTCACTGAAGGCAGAAGGCCTTACAAAGACTTGAGGGCTTAAAGTGTAAATATTACCTACGTAATTGTAACTTACAAGTGCTGAAATTTTGATGGTAAGGCAGTCTGTGGGAGGTTTGTCGCGGAACTGCCGCTGCACCCACCTACTTCAAACCAGCAGAGATTTCATCCACGGATGGTAGATTTTCTGGTGTGCTAATTGACGGAGGCGCTATTCAGAATAATCCAGTGAGTATATTTGCTCTTTGTCTCGATAATCCAGTCAAAGCTTTCTTCGATATCTGGTACTTCTGCTCCAACCTTTGGCGCTGACAGATTTGTGGACCTCATCTTACTGAAGAGTACTGTTCTTTTCCATGGATGGTTTTGCAGTCCCTCGTCGCAATGACTCATGTACTTGGTAACAACGAAGAGTTTCCAGAGGCATCAGGTCTTCAAAACTTGCTGGTAAGTGTTGATAGTAAGCGGTTTTCATCCACCTCAAAATGCTTCCCCTCAATATTCTTAAAAGTTGCCACCCAACAGCTCTTCAACCTTATATCCTCATATATGCTTATTCCAATAACAGCCGTGGCGAAAGTACCAAGAAAGATACATTAGTACTGGAAGTCAAGCAGCCAGTTCATGGAGAGCTTCCTCTGTAAAACGCTACCTGTTTGACTCTATTTCTGGCTTTGTCATTTCGTGATACCTGCTCTCTGATGAGACTCATAACTGTACGTAACATTTTTTAATTGTCTTCTAGATATTATCTCTAGGTGCTGGCCAATTAGACCAGAAGCATGAATCAAAGGTCGCTCGAAAGTGGGGTTTGACTGGTTGGGTTCGGCCTCTACTCAATATTATGATGGATGGTTCTTCAGGTAGGAGACCTTTGAGGGCATGTTTACAAGTCATTTATGTCAACTAGTTTTATGAGATGGTATGCCATGAAGTGAAGACAACTTATGTTTAGTTTTAGCATGTCATTGTCTCTCTTCCTTTATTTCCGATGAATAAAGAGAATTTGAGGTCGGCCAACAAGTTTGGTCTATCGAAAGCCAAAATGTAGGGGAGAAACAGAAAGAAGCTGGAAGAAAATGTGCAAACCAAAGTGCATATGAAAGATACTTGTGCGTTTATACTCTTCTAATATACGTATATGATGTTTTCTCATATGCACAGATACTATAGACTATCAGCTGGCTGCATCCTTTGCTGGTCACAGCTGCTCGGAAAATTATCTCCGCATTCAGGTTTGTCCACTTCAATTTGCTCCATCATCCATAGACTATGAAACTTGAAACTAATCGTTTCAGAATGTACAAGTGTTTTCTGCCATTGCTATATCATGTGAGCACATACGAGTTCAATATCATGTCAAAATTAAGAGGCTCTTGCCGTTCTAATCGATACCTTTTCTTTATACCTTCTTTTCCTTTTCATTATCGTAGTTGTTAGATTTGCTCCAGTATCTCTCTCTCTCTCTCTCTCTCTCTCTCTTTTTCTCTTAACATCCCAGTATAATGTCGTGAAGCTGACAGGATGCTTGGATTTGTGCAGCTGTCAGGATTACCAAACAAGACACCGTTCATGGATTGTACTACCAAGGAGAACATTAAAGATCTCATCAACTGTGCGGATGAATTGCTTCAGCAGAAGGCTGCAATGCGGAACGCATATGGAGAGAAAGTTACTCTAGAGGTTACTTATGCTGAACGTCTGTCTTGGTTTGCAGATCAGCTAATTGCTCAAAAGAAACTTAGAGAGGAATTAGGTTGTAAACATCGAGATGGCGCAAAACATCCATCTGATGCCGCACCAGGACTAGGCCCAACAGCGAGATTGGTCTCGCCCATGATAAGTCATTTGTTCACACACAAACAAACGTTTGACAACCACTTGATGGACAACTTCCAGAAGTCTAAATCACTGCGATATTAAACAACCTGTACATAGTTTCCATGATATAAAAAAAACTGAGTACAATTTATTCTGTACAATACAATCTCATGTTTTTGAAAAATATTTACCTTCTACTCTACATGAGTATATAAAATTGTTACAGTGTATATATAATATAATTTTTACTATCAAATGACTGTGTCGACCACATATCACATCACTTTTTGAAAAACAACATAGTATTTCCTTCATATATAATATACAGCGGGAGCATAATTCTGTGTACAGTCACTCTTATGCCCTGGATCATGACAGATTGCTGCAATTTCAAAGGTAACTGGATTTGGATTTGAATTTAAATTTTGGCATTGAAACAAGGAATACTTTCTCTATATCTGCCAAACGCCATAAACAGATGAGATAACCTTTGTCTAAACAGACGCTCATTCTTCAGGAATCGTTGAAGTTTCATATGTCTGACGAAGACAGAGCGCACAGAGCGCTGAAAAATAAACAACTTTCATATTACATTGAAAAAATAGTATTTACCTCTCCTAGAGAAGTCAAGTGACAAAGCCAGGAAGGTTAATAAGTCAGATGTGTGTCTAATATTTAATTCGTACATTGATCTAGTTGAAGCGGACGACCAAGGTACACAACAATGTAATTCGAGCTAAATCCCAAAAAAATGGGTTGCAGGAAGTGCCATTCTGCACTCCAGTTAATGAGAGACCTTTCTTTTACATCTCGCAAACTTCGAGACACGATAGATCATGAGGGCAACTCTATGGATACATACTTACCATGAGGCACTCCCAGTCAATCACTCCTTGTTAATCAGGATGAACGCGAAGCTATTGATAGTAGAGACTTTTGTGACGGTCAGCTTCCCTTCCTACACAACTGAATTGATGCTTTGCATTCCAGGAGGAACTCATGCGTTAAGGTCCACTTAAGATTCTACTCGCCAGTACAAGCTCTATTCATCGTGGGTTCAGCTGTCCAAGTTTCTACAATTGATGCAAAACATTCACAACATTACCTGTACGGGTTTGCAGTAGAACCAAAATGTCGAATTTGATCGCAATCGAAAAAGGCAGCACGAAAGCCTCGAGACAAGCTGGTAGCGACATCCAATCATAGATTGACCATGGCAGTCGTCCATCTTTACATTCCAACGCAGAAATGGCCGCTGTACCAGATTTCGTGGGTCATTGCACATTCTCAAAGAGGCCCGCCGGATCCTGGTTAACGCCTCGCATCCTCTGCTTCCGAACTGTGGGAAATCACGAATAGACACGGAAGATTTCTGACCCTCAAAACAGAATAACAAGGTCAAGAAGTGTCTCTTCGACATTCCGTGATCACTCCAAAAGATTAGATTGACCAAGACATCCACATATTCCGCTAATTGAAGGCGGGTAAGGTTCCGCAGCGGACCCGGTGAGCCCAAGCCCATCCGGATTGTGAGCCTTGGCGGCCAGGATAATTTACTCGAAAGTAGACGTCTTGTTTCGTGGTGTCAAGTCTTGAGTTCAAAGCCAGATAGCTGATCTCCTCCGGAAAAGAGAATTGACATCAAACAACATGTGGGCACGGGCTAAGGGCCAAGGGCTCGAGCATTATCCTCGCATTCACCTCGATATCCTCTCTCAAATATTAAATTAGCTCTTTACCAGGTTTTCGAGCCTGGCAAAGGACGTAACTGCCTGCAAGTGTACCATTGAAAGATAAATTGATAACTGAAAGATCTAAGAGTCGTGATCCCGTATGAAAAATTTTCGTCTACCTAGTTGCAAGGCATCACCGGACCTCTTAACACCGCACGATATTGTAAACCAGAGAAAAACAATATGTCGACAGTGTTACAATCAAAGTGAAGAGCGAACAACTGAGTTCAGAGACCCAAGAAGGAGGGATGTCCCGCAATGGTTCCACCCCACCCTCCTGGGCCAATTGTACACAGTGAGCGGTCCAACGGTGAAGTCTTCAATAGAGCCGCACACGAGAATAGACTTCCAACTTTCTGAAATCTGAAGTTTCTAAAGGCTTATCTGAACCTGCACTGAAGACACACAAAGAAGACAAATTGTGTTCGATAGAGATCTTCGAAAGGATTGTCGGACACATCTGGACAATCTAGCCGGCTTTCATATATCATACTGGCTACCACCCCGGCAGAATGTCTTCAGTACAGTGCAATTGCTCGGTTATACTGTAATGTAGCAGGGGAAATCACTTACCCTGAGCTGCAAACCTCGGTCCTTCCAACAGCCGATTGCTAATGGTGTTCACGTCCAAAACTGGTGGCCCCCCCAGGATCACTTGCTGAGCGACACTGAGTTAAGGCCAGAAAGCCTCTTGCCCAGATCCCCTCCTTTCCTATCGGCTAGGACAGGAGGGGGATTCGCAGCGACAGTATTGCTCACCGATGTGTGCATTTTGTGTAAGAATCTTGCTGTCGCCATTCCAGTTTCGTTGAGTAATTGCTCAAATAGAAAAGAGCAGATGCTCAATGAAATCAGACTGCAGTCAGAGACATCATTCCCCCGATGGTAAACCTCCGTCTTGATTTAGAAACGAGGATAATCACTGTCCGAAGAAATAGCCGTCACCAGTCTACTTATCTCCACGGTGAAGCAATTCCTCATATAAAAGCGCAATGCGGCCAGCAAGACTCGTCCTCGAGAGGTTCAGCTCCCTCCGAGTGTCCCAGACTGCTGAGCGCTGATGGTTTCGATCAGTCCCGAGTCCTAAAAAACCATCGTCTCACAACCGATGTACCTCCGTGTGAAATACCCAAATTCCTAGGACTTAGAAACCCCAGGACTCACAAGGTGTTTTTTCTTCACAGAGATCTGCTCGTGGGCAACAGATGTTCGGTCCTCGAACATCTGCAATGACTTAGAAGTCTGCTTCCCGATGCAGTTTTGACCTCCGATAACCGGAACTACTCGATCGATTCAGACAGTGGAGTCTGTGATCAATCTGACCTCTTCAAAAGAGATATCACTTATCTCCACGCACGCAAGCATGGAAACAAAACGACAGCAAGAACGAAAATACTACTCCTGGACGGCTGTCACTACATTTCGGAGAAGATTCCCTGAGAGTCCACGATGTTGACAAGTGTCAATCCAGCTTGACGATGAGTCGGACTGTCGGAGCGTATCGTCTCAAACTTGGACGAGAGGAAAGGCCAGCTGGATTGCTATCGTTGCCATCTTCTCCGTGCCACCGAGACAAATGCTTGCATACGCATTTCACATGAGTGCTTACTTGTACACAGGACTTCGGTGTTCCTACTCCGTTCTAGTTCCCTGTCACCCATCCAAAGTCACCATCTTCATTCTCTTCCACGAGTATTCATTCACACATACGGCAATGTAAGTATCTCTTTTAGTCAAATACAACCCGCTTTCTAAAGTGTTGTTTAATTTCCCAATAGTGATGTACATTGGTGTTACGGTTTTAGTTCACTATTGTAAAGTATTTTTATTTTATTTAATGTGAGTAAGGTTTATTGTTGGGTTATATCATGTCCAAGTATGTATAGTGGTGAATCCAGAGAAGTTGACGCGATTAAATAATTATTTTTTCCGGCGATTTTAACCAAGTTGAGACAATTCTTTTGTATGGTAGGGTATTATCAACGGTTCATATTGTACTTTTCCAACAAAGTTCATGTTTTGACTAATTACATGAAGAAATGAATGAAGTATGAACTCAATTTCAAATATGAAACAGCAAAGATGGAATTCAAAGTTCTAAAAAAGTACTTGGTGACGACTTCAATTTTGGCAAAACCAGATTTGCTTAAACATTTCATTCTTTACACATATGTATCAATTATTGTTGTAAGATGCATCTTAGTCTATCAAATAATGAAAATTATGAGCATCTAATTGCCTATGCTAATAGACATATGGTTCAAGTGAAGAAGAATTACTCGGTGACAGAAAGAGAGTACTTGGCTGTAATCTTTTCACTTAAGAAGTTTTGACATTATTTGTTGGGTGGAAGATTTACTATAATAATTGATTATAAAGTTTTGAAGTAAATTTTTAACAAGTCTAATGTTGAGGGGAGTATAACTAGATGGAAGCTACTATTAGCAGAGTTTGATTATACCATTTAGGATAGACCCGGAAAGAAGCATGCTAATGTGGATTTGATGTCCAGAGCATATGATGATGGAGTAGATCAATCAGTAGATAACATCTTTTCGGATGAGGATTTGCTGCTCATGGACACGTTGACAACAATACTAGAGTAATACAAGTAAATTTGGACATTCATATCTAGAGGAGAGTTTCCTCAAGGAATGCATCAAAGGGAGATAAATGCATTAGTGAAGAGATGTCAACTTTACATGATCATGGAAAAGATACTTTTTCATCAATGAGCTGACGGACCTGTACGAAGAGCAATTGGGAGAGGAAAGTCACTACAACACATGAAGTAGTTTCATGATGGTGCAGTATGTGGATGACATTTTGTGTGCAAGTTAACTCACTTCAATCATTGGAAGTGCATTTTCAAGGATTGTGTGGAATATTGCAAAAGTTGTGATGTGTGTCAAACTTTTGTTAAAAAATCTATGGATACTTCTACTATGATTTCTATACTAATGTTAGATTCTTTTGAAAAGTGGAATATAGATTTTGTAAGTCCTTTGAATCTTACTTCTCGAGTGAATAAATTTATTGTGATAGCTATAGATTATCTGACCAAGTGGGTAGAGGCAAGACCACTTAAATCTACTAATGAGAAGTAGGGTGGTAGATTTTTGTATGACAGTATCATAACTTGATTTGGTTGTTCATTAAAATTAGTATCGGATATAAGAGTAGAATTTGTGGGAAATACTTTTCAAGCCATGTTGGAGTATTTTTCATAAAGGCTTGAATGACCGCTTCTTACAAACCTAATGCTAACGAGTTGGCGTATCGGACCAACTACACTTTGTGTATGATGCTCGCCAAGAATGCAGACATGAACGATAGTAAGCACAATTTGAACAATATGCTTCATGCTATCTTGTGGGAGTATCGTACAACATGGAAAACATCAATCGGGTATTCACCTTTTTGGATGGTGTTTGGAGTTGAGTCAAAACTTTCCATACAGTTTGACTTGACAACATCCACGACAATACAGCAGAATATGAAGAAAGCGAATGGAGTGGAAGCTGTCAAATCTTGCCACAACAACTTGTGAAGTTGGAGCTTTGGCCATGGTATGAGTAGAGCGAGCTCAACAATTGCATATCAAGTATCACGACAAGCAAATTGGAACTCACAACTTGCAGTCATTCAAGAAAGATGATTGGGTGATGTTTTTTGACGTAATTAGGTACAAAGGTGCTAGAAAAAGTTTCTTCCTAAGAACATTGGCCCTTTCATAGTTGAAAAGTTGTGGTAAAATTTCACTATGACATCAAGGAATTAGGAGCACGACACTTAGATAGAGTCAACCACGACAAGTTGAAGCTACTTCATCAAAGATCAGATTTTTTCACTCTCAGGGCGTAAAAAAATTTTGATTCGAAGTCAAATGTGAGACCAGATGTTGCACATGTTTACTAAGTTGTAGAAGTAGCCAAGTGATTAATGATGATTAGCGAAGACATAGGTAAATCTAGCTAGTTATGACTAAACTCGTTAGTTATAACTAAGTTTGTCTAGTCATGACTAAGCTTAACTATAATGTCTATATTTGGCGGTATTATAAGCAGATGTCTAGAAGATTATGGTGATCAATTCTATTTTGTCTTTTACAAAGGTCTAGATTCCAAGAAATTAAACTTTTGATTATAACTTTGGATTTGATTGGTTTGACTAAATGTATGAAAGATGATTGACTAGATTAAGTCTAATGTTGACTTATTGGCTAAGAAGCTTCTAGAAGTGTTAAAGCTTTCAATGGCATGTCGCCAACTCAACCTTGAATTCCGGAAACTTCTAGAAGGTTCAGGTAGTCCAATGACATGTTGCCACGTATAGTGGGTTAGTCAAACCTACCTATGAAAAAGTGAGTTAGGAGAAATTTACACATGTTAATGGTAATTTTACTATGGTAATTTTTTAAGTAGTATAAATAGAGAGGTAGAGTAACGTCTCTCAAGGAAGTTTGAAAATTTCATGTGTATAGACTTGTTTCATATATGAAAGAGTGACAATTTTTAGTATCTTGGGGTGTTGAGGTGTGCGTGATTTGAAGTGATACATTGAGGGAAAAAATAACAATTGTTAGTATCCCTCATTTTTAGAGTTTATGTAATCATCTTCGAATTGGTTTTTTTCTAAACCTTAGTGTTATAGTGCTATCAAAACGACTTTGCTTTTTCCTTGAATATGGATTACTCCTCATGGGTAGCAAGCATTTGATGATGAAGTGCAATTTTGAGAATGTATAGAGGTTGGTAGATGTCATTGATATGCATGTAGAGAGAATAATTCTTTCACCCATTGTGTAGATCTGCGGTAAAATTATGATTTTGCAAATATGGATGAACTTGAAAGGAATCCACTACCGTAGTTGTAAATATTCAACTTCATTGCATGAAGAAACATCATTTTTGGATGTACCTTGTGGTTTGTTGGGGTGCAAATTTTATGACTAGATTGATGAAATCAAGAATGCCATTGATTCTTTCAATAGTTAGTTATGAAGAGACTTTGGTTTGTATTATATATATTTTATACTAAATGTTTCATGCATCTAAATTGCACATCATTCATCCCGGTTTGATTCAACACTTATATAGAGATTAAAATAGTATTGAGACTGAAGAGATTATGGAAATATTTTCTTGTGAAGAATTATGGAAAAGAGTACTTTAGAGTTGTGATAGAATCAGCTATACCTTTTGTGACTACTTTACAGAGAGGTCATATAGTGATTTTACTTATTTTGTATTAAAATGAGTGTGAGAAAGCATGAGGACTTCAATCGATATAGATAAGGTTCTCAATGCAATCGAGAAGGAGATGAAGTAGTTGAGAAATTCGATATTAAATGGAAATATCAAGCAGCAAGTCATGAAAGATAAAATCTTTGCATTAGAAAGTGAGAAATTAAAGAGAGATAGAGTTAGAAAAATGGAAGTTGAACCTCAAGTTCAAACTTTCCAAGTTCAACCGGAATCAACTTCTATAGATGTAGCAAATACGAGACGTCTTCAAGATATTGAAACTCAAGCAAATCTTTTGTTTTGAATGAAAAATCTTGTAAGGTGAAATCTTACAAAGGAAGTGGAGCGATGGGAATTTTAGAAGGATGGATAATGAATATGAATATTCATTTATTCTATTTTTATTATTTTGAAAATGTTTCATATTGCAAGATTGTTCATGAGATCTAATCTTACGGATAAGGCTTTCACATGATACAAAACATAGAAAATAATGATTTTAGAACGAAGTATAACCATTTTGTGAAATATAATGCAACAAGTACTTTTGTAGAATTTTTAATTGATGATTTTCAGGCCTCTGTAAATACGGCACATACAAAAATTTTGAGTCAAAGTTTCGTATTTTGTTTTCTTAAAGTTCCTTATTTGGATCATAAATAACTTTGTTCACTTTGGAGGCGCTACTAACTACTAGCAAACTTAAACTGCGGATACCGTTTTGAACATTATTTGCCTCGATAACCTTTCCACACACACTCTTTGCAAAATCAATTCCAATCCATCTCTTCGTGTAGGTCCAATGTGCATCTCTTTGTGCAGGTGCAAGGTGTCCAAAGGTCAAGAGAGAGAAAATTTGAGCATGTATGAAGTAATGTCCAATCCTTTCGAGGGAGAGAAGATAGTAGACAAAGAGAATTGGATCTTTTAGCAATGATTGTGTCATTGCCCAAGAGAATGTGATGCACATTGAGTAATTTCCTTCCGAGAGAGAAGGAAGGTAGTAGACAAAGAGAGTTGGGTCTTGCAGCAATGCTCGCGTAATTGTCCAAGAGAATGTGAT